CAGAACCTCTTACCGCTCACAGCTGGGGCTCCGCTGTCTCATCACCAAGATGCCCAGGGTCCACCGGTGCTGGACCTCAGGCTGGGGATGTGGATCAGTGACTGCCATCCTTATTCTCAGGAGTGAAGTTCTCTCCACGTGGCTCTCTCTCTCCCCTTCCCCTCTGACAAATATACAGGGGCCCTTCACCTTACAGCCTCCTACCACTTTCCGGTGAGGAAGAAAGGGTCCCCTGTGAGACCCCTCCCCAGTCAGCCCACCGGAACGGAAGCCTGCAGCAGAGAGTGAGCCAGGCTCCTGTGTGCAGAGGATATTAGACTGTAGGGCCAGACACGGGGGCTGGAGCTCCTGTCCCTGAACATTGACCATATGGAGAGCCAGCTTCCTGCCTGTGGGGCCAGGGTGGTAGCAGCCTTGCTGCTGGAGCCCAGGGCCCAGTGACTCAGCGCTCTTTTGGCACATGAGCAAGGCAGGACGAGGGTGCTGGGGTCAGTGTGGAGGAGTGGGTGGTGGGAGGACTGGTTTGGGTATCCATGCCCCCAGCTTAGGGGTGCTTCCTCCTCCTCCTCCAGCCCACCTTTGACACCCAGGGGCTCTTTTCCAAAGCTTCATCTGACCTCGACCTACACCCTCAGAATGGAGCCTGCTACAAACCTGGTGGGAAGCCCTAGGAGGGCTGTATTGTTCCCAGAGACAGGGGGTGGAGGCACATGTCTATAATCCCAGCATTTAGGGGGAGCCTGAGAGAGAAGGATCACAAGTTTGAATCCAGCCTATTTTCCCCTTTTCCTCCCTCCCTGCTTGGGGAACAAGCACGGAGAGGACCTGATGGCTGGATCTGTGGCAGCCACCTTGTAATGACAAGGGAACTAGCTTGACATAGAAATATCAACAGTTCTTGTGAACAATCTGCTCTGGTAAGAATAGCTTGGTTCTACAGGACCCCAAGCTTGGAGCTGAAAGCCAGCTAAATGCCCTTTTAGGTGGATTACGTGCTCACCAGTTTGCCAGGGTCTCTGTTCATCCCTATCACATTACCCTGGCTCTCTTCACTCACTTACCTTCTTGTGGGCCCAGGGGCAAGTCCAGTGGCAATGCAAGTGGCCCACCCCAGCACGGTCAGCACCCTGAGAGGACCCAGCCCTGTGTGGGGCACTCAGCAGGAACTGGCGACGGTTGGGCTCGGGCCTTGATGGAGACAGCTCTGCCCACTGAGGCAGCCACGGGCTCAGGACTGACTGGACTCTGAGATGTGAGCGGTGACAGAGGAACTGGATTTTCAACTTTGCTCGATTTTAGTCGATTTAGATTTAAGTAGCCACATGTGGCTAATGGGAACAGCATGTCAGGGACAGCATGGCAGAGTCACGGCCACCTTCCCGCACGGTTCGGCTGCCGAGGTACACAGGGGAGCTACTCCTAGCACCCACGTCCCTGTCCCCTACCCTGAGCCCCTCCTGCCTGGGTCCCAGACTGCAGGTCGCTGGCAGTCCGTGAGCCTCTGCCTCGGGCACTGCTGCGGGCGGGATGAGGTCCATGGAGGGCGCTCCGGGGCTCTGTCCTGGCCAAGGACACTGAGGCTGCAGCATCTCCGGGTCTCCCCCGGGGGGACTTGATTTCCCTCTCTCAGGACCTGGGCTGTCGGGTGACCCTGCGGGCGGTCTGCTGGCACCTGGGGACAGGCTCCCAGGTGCTTCTCGGGATGGTTTCTGGGAGCACTGAGCTGCCACTCGGGGGGCTCCTGTGGGCAGAGCCTGGCCTTCCTGCTGTCCCCATGCCCCCAAGGCCTCCTGGGACACCTCAGTTGCCTGGAGCTGGAGGAGCAAACCAGGACAGAGGCCCAGAGAGCAGACATCCCGGCTTTCCACGGGAGGAAATGCTGAGGGCCAGGAGCCTCGGGACCCTCCCTCCCTCTCCCGACCACAGAAGCCCTTGCAAGCAGAGATGAGCTGTCCCCGCTCACCACGGTCAGTGTGACACTGCAGACAGAGCCAGACCCAGAGACTCTTGGGTTCCGCCGGTGCCCCCAGCCAGGTGCTGCCCCTCCCGAGGCAATTTCCTCTATTGCTGGGGTGTGGCAGCTTGGCCCAGAGAGGCTGGGGTACCTACCTGGGTCACACAGTGAACATGGGGCCTGCCCAGGATGAGAGCCGACACTTAGCTGACCTGGAGGTGGGGGCTTTGCTCACTACATTCTTGCTCTGGATGTGTAACCACGATCCTAAACACAGTGCCTTATTGTTGACACCACAGTGGTATGATCTGACTTTTTTTCCTAGTACAGGGTTTGATCCTGGGCCTTTTCACTGAGCTAGATCCCCAGCCCTTTTTTATTTTTTGATTTTGAGACAGATCTTGCTAATTCACTAAGTACCTTAGGCTGAGCTCAAACTTGCAATCTTCCTGCCTCAGCCTTCCAGAGGGCTCCTGGTTCTTAACAGGCAGCTCAGGACTCTGAGTGACCAAGGCGAAGTTGCAGTCACTTTCAGCAGGCCATGGCCTCTCCTTTGGGGTCCAAGTAGCCCCAGGCCAGCCCCAACTCAGGGAGGGGAGAAGCAGACACCCTCTCTGCAGGGAGCACTGATCTGCAGCCTCTGGCCCACCACAAGCCCACAAAACCTTTCTTGGAGCTAGGAGAGGAGGGTGAGCTCTGTGAGCCCTGAGAGGAGCAGGTGATTCCCAGGACAGAGCTAACCTGGGCCTTGGGGGTCCTCAGTGTCTCCAAGACCATGCATACTGTGGTCTTCACAGGGGGATGCCCCGCATGTAGCCCCTTTTCTTTGGGGCTTGATTTGCATCACCTGTAAAGACCACAGAAGCCAACAAGGGCAGGCTTGAGGCCACCCTGATTGGGGCCCCACGACACTGTGGGTGATGTCCCCTCCTGCCTTCTCACTCCCCAAAGCAACCCCTTAGGGACCAGACTAGCAAGCCAGTGCTCCCCAGAACTATGGCCAGTTAGGAGGACACCTAGATCAGCTGGGGTGGTCCTGTTGGGCATGAGCTGCAGCCTTGCCCATGAGGTCACAACCCCTACATCCCACTGTCCTGCTGCCCTAGCCCCAAGCACGTCCCTGGTCCCTAGAAGAGCAGAGGGGAGCTGCAGTCTGAGGCACCAGAGCCTCACAGGGCACGTGAGTCGGAAGATCCACCAACAGCCTGCAGTGGGCCAAACCACCAGACCTGTCTGCAGTGCTAGCTTATTAGCTGTGTGACCCTGGCCAAGTCACTGAAGCTCTCTGAGCCTCAGTGTTATCCTGTATAAAATAGAGAGGGTTGGAGATGAGTAGCTAACATAACATTTTCAACTTTGTACAGGGTGGGAGCTCAAAAAACAAACAAACAAAAAGAATAGGGGGCTGGGGATTTAGCTCAGTGGTTTCGCTGCCTGCTGCACAAGCGCAAGGACCCGAGTTCGATCCCCAGTACCAAAAAAAAAAAAAAACAGAATAGGGGGTAGCATTTGCCAAACCCAAGAGCAATGGTTCTTAAGCTTTGTGGGATTACAGGAAACCTTTGGGAATCTGAGAAAGCCTGGAATTTCTCCCCTGAGCCAGGTGTGGAGGTGTAGGCCAGTAATCTGAGTACTCTGGGGGCTGAGACAGGAGGATCACAAGCTTGAGCTCAGTCTGAGGAACTGAGCGAGACCCTGTCTCAAAATTCTAACAAGTGTCTAGGGTGATTTCCAAGGTTTGTCTCTCCTGTGTGTCTGGTGTCCATGAGGAGCCAGCTGCAGACCCTCACACAGCCCCAGGCGGCTCCTCCACACACAGGAGCCAGAGCCCAAGCCCTGGAGACAGTGCTGGGTCTCCCTGGAGTCCTCCTGAGACCCTGGGGGCCACTCCTTTCATCCAGAGGGACATTCAGCAGGGCACCTCCCTTCCTCACCCAGTCTTCCACCTCCCGCTCCACAGCAGGGCCCTGCCACCTCCACCTCCTGGCAGCAGTATGGCCAGCTTCGGGAGGGGAAGGGCCAAACCAGCCCTAGTTCCCTCCAATCTCTCCCCAGCACTGCCGCCTGCACCCGATTCCCCAACCCCAGGTGAGCGAAAGTTGCTTATTCTGCACAGTGAGCCCCGGGATTCTGGTGTTAAGAGAAGTCAATCAGCAGACCTTCCGTTAGGGACTCTTCCAGGCACGTCTGTGCGCTTGCGCAGCTCTTAAATGGGGCTTTGAGAGCCTGGACTTGGGGGAAAATTGACTGCTAAACTCCAGGCTTTAACTAGGCGCCTGCAGAGGCCTCCAGCCCCAGCGTCTCCTTGGTGGTGCTTTATCTCGCCTTAAATAGCTGCAGCTGGACTTCTCCAATCACGGCCTCTCGAGCCCCGCCCCAAGTTCCTGGCTGCTTTCTTTTCTTACTTTCACGTATGTATGTATTCATTCTGAATTGGATGTTGAACCCTGGGCCTTTGCACGGAGCTAGTTCTCCAGCCCTTGTTAAAGATTTTTATTTTGAGGCCGGATCTTGCTAAGTTGCTAGGTTGCCCGGGCTGGGCTCAGACGAGTGATTCTCCGGCCTCTGCTTTTCAGGTGTCACCCTTCCTGGAAGGCACAGAGCCAGGGGGGAAGAGAGGGGTCATCCGGGGAGGGAGGGGAGACCATCTACTCCCACCTTCCCGGATCTGCAGTGCTACTGCAGTTTGTCTTCTGAGAGTCAGGCTGTTGGAAAATGCTACAGGCTGTGCAGTGTTTTGATTTTTTTTGAGGATGAGACATTTATTAATACAGTTCTTCTGTTAACAATTCATACCTTGGGCTGGGGATTTAGCTCAGTGGTTCCGGTGCTGGCCTCGCAAGCACAAGATCCCGAGTTCAAGCCCTGGTACCAAAACCAAAACCAAAACAAAACAAAAAAATGTGTAACAATTCACACCTTGATAATGTGGCAAAAACCTAGTGGAGGACCAAGCCTTGGTATTTGAAACTAGAAAGAAAAGGGTTTTCCTGCTTCTGTTAGGAATTCTTCTAGGCTACAAGTTTTAGAGAGCTGAACTAGACACTTAACACAAGATAAATATTTATTTCTGCCTCATGTAAAAGAAACCAAGCAGCAGTCCCAGCTCCCAAACGTCAGCAGTGACTCTGGCTCTTTCCACTCCCATCATCTTCTGCTCAGGGATTTCCATCTGCACAGTCACCTCAAAATTCCGACTCCTATTTGACTGTTACAGCTCCAGCCATCATGCTGCACCCCAGGCCGAAAAAGGAAGGGAAGCCCTGTCTGTTTTTTTTCTTTGAAGGCTTTCCTTTCCTTAACTAGCTCTAGCTGCAAGGGAGTCTGGGACATATGGTCATTTAGCTGTATACATGGATGTTCAGGGTAAAATCAGGTTTCTGTGGAAAGGAAGGCAGTGTCAGCTCACAGCTGCTCCCACAGTTCTACCACCTTCCTGAACACATGGGGTGGTGCTCTGCTGGGGTGGGCCTGGCCTGATTTGGCTGGGCCCAATCTGGTCATAGTTGGCAAGTTTGCCTCAAGCTGGCTAGGAGAAGAACAGCAGGTCTTTGCTACCTGCCCTGGTCCCAGGCAAGGGAAATAAGCGTGCTAGAGGACTGTGTGGTAGGGACAATGAAGGCAGAGGACAGAGACAACACCATGTGGGGAGCTGGGCATGGTGCCATAGGCCTGTGATCCCAGCACTCAGGGAGGCTGAGGCAGGAGGACTGCAAGTTCAAGCCTAGCCTGGGGAACTTAGTGACTTAGCAAGACCCTGTCTCAAAATAAAAAATAAAAAGGGTTGGGAATACAGCTCAGTGCAAAGGCCCTGGGTTTGATTCCCAGTACTGAAAATAAACAATACCATGTAGGGAGTGCTGAGGGCATCTGGCCTCAGGGCTGGGGCCGCAGCTGGGGTGCAGGGTCTCACACAGTGCAGGGACAGCCTGCCCCAGGTGACTACACTTCTTTTCAGGTCAGGATGCACCAGGTCAGAGGGTGCAGACCCAGGCATTGCCCTGTCCTTGCCTCGTGCCGCTTCCGAGCCTCAGCTCAGCGGTGGACAGCTTAGGAAGCCGGTGAGAGCTAAACCTCTGCAAACGGTGGAAGTGCAAATGATGAAATGGAGATTAGAGACGTGGAGACATGTGATGTGAGGGAACCAGCACAGCGCCTGTCCCCTTCCCACAGGCCTGTCCTGTCCAGGGTGCCTCACTGTGGGTCCCCAGGGCCCTGCCACGCTGGTGGCACAGGCATCCCACATGTTACATTCAGCTGCTGCTTGGACTGTGAGGAGCCAGCCGGCCGTGGGGCTCGGGCTCCATGGCCTCTGCTCGCCATCTCTGCGCACTGGCCGGGCAGCCACTAGCCCTGCTCCTGCCCGGAGTCGGGGCCCTTGTGCATCCACCTGGCTTCCCGGAGGGGGCTCTCTCACGGCGGCGCAGAGCCCTGCCGCGTGGCTCTTTGCTCACTGCTAGGCCCCGGGGCTCACAGCTGGTCCTCGTCCACCCAGATGGTCTTGCGCTGCTCCTCGCAGATCCTGTCTTTGAGGACACGCAGCAGCTCCTCGACACTGCTCCAGGCCTCGGCCTCCACTGTGGAGTACAGGCAGGGCAGTGCCTCCAGCTCCTTCTCCCGCAGGCGGCAGGCACGCAGGAACTCCTCCTCTGTCTCGGGCCGAGGCAGCAGCTTCCTGGCAGCAACACACGCGGCTGTGGGCAGGCACCGGGGCTGGACCCCACGGTGGGGGACAGAAGCAGCCCCAAGATTGCAGATGTTGTGCCCACCCGGAAGAGCCTTGGGAAGTGGTCCCGCTCCTGGCCACTGTGGTGCAGAGTCTTTCCTGGGCCACCAGGCACCTCACTGAGTGCTACCGTGTGCTGCTGGCTCTGTCTCCCCTGGTCCCACTGCCTCCTAAAACCCTGAACACTGTGCCTTTGTAGGGACAATACTGACACTTGAACCCAGAGCCTGTGCACTGAGCTACATCCCCAGCCCTTCTTTATTTTTTATTTTGAGACGGGGTCTTACTAATCTGCTAATTTGCCCGGGCTGGGCTTCAACTTGATATCCTCCAGCCTCAGCCTCCCGAGAGGTGGGGTTACAGGTGTGTACTAGGCTGGCTGTGCACCATTTCACACCATTTTGTGTTCTACCCGCAGTTCGAGGGGTCCTTGCCGGCACTTATGGGGAGTCTCGTCACCTGTGCTCACTGATGGATTCCCCAGTGCCTGGCACTACCAGGGGCTGCACAGGCGTTGTCCAGGAGAAAGCAGCCCTGACCTTGGAGTCCCAGCGCCCCGTGTGCGCAGTGGGTAATGCCACTTACTCTGCACTGCACAGGGAGGGGGGACCCACCGTGATGATGGTCAAGGGCCCGTCTGTCCCTGGGGCTCAGGCCCAGAGCCTCTGTGCCACCCCTATGCCCAGCCCCACAGCTGACCATGTATCAACGCCTATGGCTCAACCGTGGATGGGGCCCAGAGCCAGAATTTGTCCTTGTCCCTGCCAGGTGTGCCCTCCCCAGGGAGGAGCAGTGGGCTGCTCCTGCCTCCTTTCACCACTGCCAGACCCTGGCCTCCTTGGGGCTGCTTTCACCCGAGGGAAGGAAGGGTCTGCTCAGCTCATCCTCCCGCCCTCGCCTCAGGCCCTTCTGGCACCTGGGCCCATGCGATGTGTCCCTCACGCGGGAGCCACGTCAGCACCAGGGCTCATCTGCCCGAGACCGGGGTCCCCTCCTGGTGAGGACACCTGAGGGACGAGTGGGGTTGGCAGGCCTGGGCTTGGGCTTGGGCTGGAGGAGGCCGGGCCCCGTTCCCACCTGAAGCGCTTGATGTTCTTCTCACACACGCGCACGAAGAGCACGATGGGGTAGATCCCGCACTTGATCAGGTCGCGCACACAGCCCATCCCGGCCTCCAGCAGGCAGTGCTTGTTCTGAGGGGTGTGCGACAGAGAGGTCAGCAGTGTCCCCCGCCCGGCCTCCCCGTCTGTGCGGGAGCTGCGCCCAGCCTGTAGGCAAGGACAGGCTCCAGAGACAAGAGCCCCACGGGCCCCCGCCTGACCAGTACAGGACCAGGGCCTGCACACCCGACGCTTCCCATGGCCTGCAGCACACAGCTGCACCGAGGCTGGGCTGGGGAGGGACTGATGCCAGGGACGCCTGCCTACCTGCCGGCCTCGAGGGCACTCTGGGGCCAGGCGAGAGTGCTGAGAACACTGCCAGGGTGAGGCGGCAGCTTGGAGGTCCTGGGAGGCCCTTCAGGGGTCTCAACCATGAGCTCCTCATTTCTGAGGAAGGACAACCCACAGAAGGCATCACTTTAAAGAAAGCAAGGCGGGCGTGGTGGTGCTCGCCTGTCATCCCAGCACCCTGGGAGGCTGAGGCGGGAGGATCACACGCTCAGTCCCAGCCCGGGTGCCTTAGCGGGATCTTCTCTTAAAATTCAACAACAACAGAAAGTGCGGTGGGATGCAGGGTCTTCAGTGTGAAGACCCTTGGTTTGATGCCCAGTACTGAAAAAAAAAAAGAGGCAGAAACACCAGACTTGGCATCTTGACCACACTCGCATCCTGAGCATGGAGCGTGTCCCAGTGTGCAGCTCTGTGACTCCCCTGGGCACACTGGAACAGCTGGATGGCGGGAGGGCCCTGGGCGCCTTCTACTCGCTGCCCCTCACTGGCCTGACTTGAGCGGCACCGACCCCTTGGCTCTCCTGCTGAAGCCAACTCAGCTCCAGCCCTCCCGCTCATTTTCTCTCCACTGGGCTGTCAGAATTTCTTAGAGCGCTCTGGCCCGGACAGAAAGAAAAAGTCAGCCGACTGCTCCAGGCCTGTGGGCAGCTGGGCCTCTGCCCTACTCCGTGTCAGAGTCCGTGTCACTGAGGGGCAGGGTGAGGCCACTGCAGCTGGATGGGAAGTGGGGGGCCCAGCGGGGCACCTGCCCCCGGGCCTCTGTTGCCTCAGGGTGTTGTCCGGCCCTCCACGGCTGCAGACTGAGAGCTTTTGGTCGAGGAGGAAGACGTGCGCGCGTCACACTGGGGGCTCTGAATGGCTCCCGGGCTCTCCTCTGCTCAGCCACCAGCCACCCCTGTGCTCTTTTTCCCATCCTGGGGTGGACACCAGCCCACCTCTCACCCTGACTCGCCTGCTCTTTCTGTCACAACCAGACACATACACGCCCCTGAACAGGAGATCCAGCACCCAGCACCAGGGCACCACCACCAACAGAAGGCAGCTCCGAGATACAAGTCCTGAGGACCGGGGTGAAGGAGGTGATAGAGGCAGGGGTGGCGGAAGCCTCGCCAAGGGGAGCTGGGAGCACCTCTTTATCTGCCTTCCCCCAGCCCAGGGGTCTTGGGTGGGTCGCCGGCCGTGTCGCAGGCCTGCCTAGCCCCTCACCTTGGCTGCCACAGCTTCGATGTTGGCAGGAACAATGCACTCAAAAGTGTTGGGGTTCTTCTCTCGGGAGTAGATGATGGTCTCTGTCTTCTGCTTTTTGAGGAACTCTTCTCTTGTGACAGTATCTGTAGAGAGAAGCCAGTCTCGAGGGTGGCACGGGTGGTCTGGGGGGTGGTCCCCTCCAGGCCCTGCCTGCCCCCCTCCTGGTGCCACAGACTGGATGTCTGGTCCAGTCACAGTTAGCTGTATCTCATCCCTTCCACTAGACTGCAGAGCTCCTTCAGGGCAAGGCCAAGGTCACAGTTCACGTTCCCTGTGGCAGACCAGAGAGGTGTTTAGGCAGTGTTCAGGGTCTGGAGGCTCAGTAGGGTCAACACAGTAGTAGTTCAGGCACTACAGGGCACACTCTTCACTAGCTGCCAACCACAACGAAGCTCAGCCATTGATCCATTCACCCATCATCTGCTCACGCATCCATGCATCTGTGCATCCGTCCATCCATCCATCCATCCATCCGCCCACCATCTATCCATCTACTCTCTCCATCCGTGCATCTGTGCATCCGTCCATCCATCCATCCATCCATCCGCCCACCATCTATCCATCTACTCTCTCCATCCGTGCATCTGTCCACCCACTCACCTACCCACTTTTCGTCCATCCCCCTATCCATCATTCATCCATCCACCATCCACCCACTCACCCACTCACCTTCCCACCCAACACTGCTAAAGGTCAGGTATTAGGAATAAAAATACGATAAAAGCACAGCTCATCTATTCAAAGAAGCAATGATGTAGCTAGGGAGAAAAATGTGGGTCACAGACAACGAGGCAACAGTTTAGTGAGTGCAGTGGTGGCTACTGTGTGGGGGGCAGAGGGTGCAGGCGGGCTCCCTGGAGGAGGAGGTGCCCACTAGAGGCCTTGCTCCCTTGCTGGGTGACCCTGAGCATCCTGTTTCACCCTCTCTGGGCCTCAGCGGAGGAGGGTGCAGTATGCCCAAGTGTGGACACAGGTGGAGGGAGGTTCTCTGGGCTGGAGTGGTGATCATTTAGGGTGTGGCATTTCAGTCTAGCTGACAGTGGTCCACTTAGATGTAGTCAGGACAGTAGAGTCTGTGCTATATCCATTTCCTATGATTTAAAAAGATCTTGGACATGTAATGTTTAATTGGTCCCAGGTGGGCCTGGACATTGGTGCTTTAAAAAATTTTATTTATTTACTTTTTGTGCTACTGGGACTTGAACCCAAGGCTTTCACATTGAGCTACATCCCTGGCCCTTTAAAAATTAATAAACTAGGTTTTTTTTGAGTCAGGATCTCACTATGTAGTTCAGGCTGGCCTTGAACTCATGGCAATCATCCTGCCTCAGCCACCTGAGTGCTGGAATTACAGGCATGCACTCCCATACCCGGCTTATTTTTTATTTCGAGACAGGGTCTTGCTAAGCTACTAAATTGCCCAGGCTGGGCTTGAACTTTCGATCCCTGTGCCTCAGTTCCTGGAGTGCAGGGATTACAGGCATGGGCCACCATGCCTGCTTCCACTTGTACATTTAAATACAGGTGGGGACTCTGATGGCAGCCGGGATGGGAGCACAGTGCTGGCAGTGGGTGTCACCACCCTTGGCATGCCAGGGACACAGAGGCTCAGAGTGACGGGCAGGCTGGCTGCGCACACTGCACCTGCAGGGGACTGAGCTCCTGGACACCTCTGCCCTGTCACCCACCATGTCAGAAGGGGGTTCCCTGCTCCCTGGGCCGCTGCACATGCACGGGGGACAGTGTGGGGACAGAGGGAAGACTCCCTCTGTGTGCGCTCTGGCGGGAGCAAGGGGAGAGGATCGACGGGCAAGGTGGGAGAAGTCGCACTGTGGATGGCTCCCCCACCTGCCCTGCGCAGCCTGTGGTCACCTGACTTGCAGAGTGTGAGCTCCATGGCGCCACCCGAGTTCAGCAGCTTCTGCACCAGCGTCTTGGTCAGCACAGTGGGTGTGAAGAGCACCGGCCGGCGGCGCTCGCAGTGGAAGGCACGCACCAGGCTGTAGGGGGTCAGGCTGAGGTTCCTGCTGAGCTCACTCTCAGGGTCCAGCTCTGGGCGAAAGGGAGCTGCGGTCAGGTCTGGGCCCCTGGACCCCGGATGCCCTCAGGGCTGCTCTTTTTCTTTTGGTACTGAGGGGTGAACCCGGGGCCTTCAGGCTGTGCTACATGAGACAGGGTCTGAGTTGTCCAAGTTGGGCTTGGCCGTGCGATCCTCCTGCTTCAGCCCCTCAGAGTGCTGGGATGACAGACCTGAGACCTGAGACCACATGGCCAGCCTCAGGGCAGGCTCTTGGAGGCCACTGCAGGCCTGGGAGCCTGAGGTTCTGTCCCTAGCACCCAGGGATATTCTGGGGGTCCTGTCTGCCTGTGTGGGAGGCACACAGGGGGTGGAGGACATAAATTAGCCCTGGTGAGTCTCTGAAGGAGAGGTTGCCAGGGCAGGGTGGTCCAGGCAGAGGGAAGGTGACCACAGGAGAGCAAAGTACAGCGTGAGATGATCAGGTGGCAGGACAGCAGGGCCGCCTGGGAAAGCCTGGTGGCTCTCAGGGCTTTGGGAAGCTTCTGGGCTTGTGGCAGGGTGAGCACATGGCCTTGGCTCCACCTTTTCCAGGCCTCTGTGGCTCGCCTGGGCAGAGCACGGAGGAGCCCCCAGGCGGGATCTGTTAAAGCCAGCTGGCAGCCCCAGGGTCACTGGCCAGAGGTCAGCAGCCTGTCCCTTTTTTGCCCCCTGGCCTGGTGCTCACAACCAGTGGTGGGGCTTTGGTCTCCTTGCCCTTGAGTGGGCTTGGCTGAGAGGGCAGGCAGGGCTAGCTTGTCAGCAGCTGGGCTCACCCGAAGGAGAAGTGGCAAAAGGTGCTCGTGGGGAGAAAGACCAATACATAAACACTGCTCAGAGGGCAGCTCTGAGTAACGGGGCATCTGGACTCCAGGTGACTGCGACTCATGTCGGTCACCAAGCGGCAGACTTCACGCCTGTGGGGATGGACGCGCCTCTAAGTGGGGTGAGGGGTCACCACACACCTTCCTGCTTCTCGGCCGAGAGCCTGGTGGCATCCAGAGAGGCACGGGCCAGGCTGCCCAGAGGGCTCCCAGAGATGACTCGGACCCGCTCGCTGCTGTTCATGCGCTTGTACTTGTTCTCCGACCTGCTGACGAACTGTGAGGACAGAAGGCACAGTGGGTGGGAGGCTGCTCTCCCTGCTCTCGCTTCCGGCCACATGGAGCTGCTTCAGTTGGACAAACTTGGACCTTGTTCCGATCCCACCTCCGCCCTGGGGCTGGGGCAGTCCCCTCCCTGTATGAACAGGGGACACCAGAGTGTGGTGGCACAGGTCTGTTAGGCCAGCACTCTGGGAGGCTGAAGCAGGAGGATCACAAGTTTGAGGTTAGCCTGGACAATTTAGTGACTTAGCAAGACCTTGTCTCAAAATTAAAAATAAAGGGTTAGGGATGTAGTCCAGTGCAGAGGCCCTGGGTTCAACCCCCAGTGACACTCAGAGGTGGCTGGAGTCCTTCAGCTCCTGGACAGTGGCCATCAGTAGTGAGCAGATGGAGAGAGACCACTGTCCCTCACCCAGCTCCCTGTGTCACCCACCCACCTTCCCTTGGGCCTCTGGGTGAGCTCGGTGGCGACTGCACTGACTCACTCCCGCTGGTGAGACACTGTGGCTGGGCCCCCCGCACTGGGCCTGTGGGGAGCTGTCTCCCCAGCACCATGCTCCTCCACCCTCCACTCATCCGGGGAACACTGCTGCCTCCTGCAGCCTGTGAAGGCCTGGTGAGGGGCACAGACCCAGCTTCCTGCTTTGCCCTCCCAGCCACAGGGAGGCAGATTCTGGGGGCTGGCTGTGTGCCTTAGGACAAGGCCCTCAAGGCTTCAGCTCCTGTGTGACCTGTGCGCACAACGGTGTGCCACCTTAGACGGCTGCCTCTCAGAAGACCTCTGACCTTGCCAGGCTCCAGCCCACCTGCCTGCGTCCACCCGGGTCCTGGGGTCACACTGCTAACCCTTTCTGATCACCTCTGCCCCAGCATCAAGCTGAAGCCTCGGAGTTCCACAATCTCTCCACTGGGGTCTGCTTGGCGCAGCACCCACTTAGGAACATGCTCATGGGCTCTGTTTTCCCATCACCCCCTGTGCTTGTCCTCTGTCATATAAGGATGCTTCTTCTTCTTTTTTTTTTTTTGGTACTGGGGATCGAACTCTTGTCCTTGCACTTGCTGGACAGGTGGTGGAACCACTGAGCTAAATCCTCGGCCTCTAATTTTTTTTTTTTTCTTTTTGGTACCGGGGATTGAACTTGGGTCCTTGAGCTAGCAAGGCAGGTGGTGTAACCACAGATGCTTCTTTTATATGAAGTAACTTCTGAAGATATCACATGATATGCTAGTTAATGTTGCTTATATAAATCCAAGCAAAAAGGTTTTTGTTTTTTTCGTACCGGGGATCGAACTCGGGTTCTTGAGCTTGCACAGCAGGTGGTGAAACCACTGAGCTAAATTCCCAGCCAAAAAGGTTTTTTTTTAAGGTTAAGTACAAGGGAAAAATCTTTTTCTGGTCCCGAAGAGCTAAAATGTTTCCATAGACAGATGAAGATTTAAGAACCTGTTTGGTTTCCCTTTTCTCCCTGGCTGCCAGGATACTGAGATAAAGCTCTATCTGAGGAACTAACCTGGCCTAGATATTTGGAATGTTTGTTTTCTCTTCCTGACATGCCATTTCGGATTTTTCTGTTAATATTTTCACAACCAAGTTGTCTGAGCTCCTTTTGGACATATGTTTTCTCAAATCTTTTCTGAAAGTGTCGTTTGCTTCCAATAGGAGCACAGACCATTTCTTGAGCTGACACTGGGAAACGGGATGAAGAGACAGGAGGCACAAGAGAGCTGCGAGTGGGCTGTGCACAGAGAGCACTGCTATTTTGGTGCAGCCTTTTCTTACCTGGAGGAGCTGGCCGAAGAGGAAACTTGCTCTGGAGAGGCGTGGGCTGACCCGGGGGTCGCTTGTTGAAAGCGGCTCTTCAGGCTGCAGGGTGTTCTGGAATGAGTTTATCAGTAGGTCAGGAGCAGTGGGGCCCAGCTGGGGCCCGGCTGGATCCATGGGCACAAGAATGCTGCTAGAGAAGCAGAGGACACCCCCAGGTTCCCTCTGCTGAGTGCTGGGCAACCTGTTCCAGCAGGAGTGGGGGCAGCCAGGAGCCATGCTCCAGAGGTGGCTTTCCCTGTGGTGTTGCAGACTCACCCGGAGCCCCCGCAGGGTGTGGTGCACCGTGTCTGCCTCCTCCCGGTTACCCCGGTGCATCAGGCGCTGCAGCTTGACCAGCAGCAGCTGCTGGGCCCTGGGGAGCAAGAGGGAGGCATCCAGGCTGGGACAGAGCTACAGCCAGGGAGCGCTCAGCCTGAGGAACTGGGACAGCATGGGCTTTTGCCTCTGGGGGGCCCTGGCTCAGGATGGGGTCAGGGCAAAGGGCTCCTGTCCCCAGTTGGGGCTCCTATGCTGGAATCTGGCCAGATTCTCAGGGCTGGCCTTGGGGCTATCACCATTCGGAAGCACAGCTAAGGTCTTAGAGATGCTTTCCATCCTGGGAGGCAGGAAGGTTTCCTGAAAAAGGAGGAACTGGGACTTCATGGCCCAGGAGGCAGAGGTGTGTGCTCATAGCACCACCAGCCCCTGACTCCATGGTGCCCCGCCAGGCCCTGGCCTCACCGGCTGTAGCTGGGTATAGTGCCCATGTCCAGGTCATGGTCCGTGAAGGGGTCGACCCTTGCACACAGCCACTCGTGCCTGTCCTGGTACATGGTGTCACGGACGTGCACAATGTCGTCACACTTCAGGGACATGGAGCAGGCATCCAGCTGGCTGGAGATGTTCAGATTCAGGCGGATGTAGAAGGAGTCTCCCGATGTGATCAGGCCCTCTGCCATGTCCCTGAGCAGCTTCTGGTACCCTGGGCAGGCAACAGTCCGAACAGGGCATGTTGATGGGACACCAACCTTAGCTGAGGGGCCTTCTTGGTCCATTCCCCACAAAGCCGGGGGTTGGGGCAGGCATTCCTGCCTGATGATGTCATTCATGGGTTTCCCTTTTTGTCTCTGCTGCCAGGAAGCTCAGAGCTGAATGTGTCAAGTTGCAATGATCACCTGCATGAGCATTTCTGCCGCAACTGCCATACCTTCCTCACCATGGGGACACACATTTGCTTTTCATTCTCCGTTTTTCCATCAACACATAACTTATATAACAGTAAACTGCATAAATTCTTAAATTTTCTCAAATGCATGTGTGTGGGTAGTCTCCTCCCAGAACCTGCTCTGTCAACACTTCCCAGGGGTGACTTTCATCCTGACCACTATTCCCCAAGCTAAGCTGCAGCTCACTGCACAGACATGGAGCCAAACAGTACAGGCTCTCTCCCTTCTGGTGGCTACTATTCCACGTTACCCCTGTGAGATACATTTAAAAGGCTGCCACGTAGCAGTACTGTGGTCCTTTTCATTGCTGCATAGCACTCCACTTGTGTGCAGGTATCCATTCTCTTGTGTACATACTTGGACTTTGGGGGAAGTTTGGGGCTATTCTGAATAACTCTGCTGAGTTTTTCTTCTACATTACTTCTGGCAGACATACACACATATGCATTTCTCTTGGATACATACACAGAAGTAGAATTACCAGGTCATGGGTTTGGATTATCTATACATTTAGATTCGGTATATACTGCCAAATGGCTTTCTAAATTAGTAAGATCTAACGTGTGGTTTTAACCTTACTTAAATGTCACTTTCCTTTTGAGTAGATTTTGGCAAATACATTGGAAGGAAGGAAGGCCCGGACTATGACTATAATAAATACAGCAAGTTCTGAGTGAATGCTCATGACATAAGTCCCTAAATCAGCCCCACATGCAGAGGGCTGCATATGACAGCAGAAGCTAAAGCAGTTCTGCTCAGCCCCAAGTAGCTCCTCAAATGTGCACAACACAGAAATGTGCAGGGACATTTCCACCACTGAGTCAGTGTTCCTTGGGGCTGTGTGGGGAAACAGGCTTCCCCATGGGTCCTTCTGTGGCAGCCTGGCTGTGCCCTATTGCCAGACCCAAGCCACGTGCTCCCTGAGCTCCCTGCACCCTGGACAAGTTAACTTGCCCCAGAAGTCCGGACCGCAGGGCTCGCTGCTGCCCACTTCTGGGGTCGCTCGTCACACTGCTTCTGTGGCCCTGCTGGCCAGCGGTCAGGACCCCACCCAGAGTTTTGTGTGGGCCTAACACGCCAGGCTGTAGGAGTGGGGGCACCTGTCCTACGTGTAGGGCCGACCTGCCCGTGTTTGGGGAAGGCACCACTGTCAGCCTCACTGCAGGGCACTGCTGGGAACGGTGTGAGCCGCTGGAGAAGCTATTTATGTTCTGCTGAAACATTCATGAGCCCCGAGGTTAAAAATAAGACCCAGCTGCAGAAATAATCATGCAGGAAAAAGCAGAGGTGAGAATGAGGACTCAGACTTCGGGAAATGGAAACAAAGCTCCGTGTGCACGGGGTGGGAGTTGTGGCAGGGCAAGAGGAGCCAAGGCTAAAACCTTCCAGGGCCTGACGAGAAGGGAGGCTGAGGCCCAGCTGCTGCCTGCAAAAGGCCAGGAAGCCCAAGAGGATGCTCACTTCACCCCAGCAGGGAGAAAGGTGGGCTGGGCTGTGCCTGGTGAGCATCCTGAGGCATCCTGGACAGCTGGGTGTGGACATGGCCAGGTTGAGACAGACCAGCTGCTCCTGGTCACCTGCCTGCTCCCCTAGACCTGCTCCCTTGGGTCCCCTGATGGTGCGGGGACAGCTAGTTCTCTGCTGAACAGAATAGGAGGTGTGGGTGCTGGGTGGTGAGGTCCCTGCCCAGGTGCAGGCCATCCCCAGTGTGAAGTGGTCCTCCCAGGCTCACCTTCGTGGTTAGCCTTGTAGTGCAAGGTGACAGGGCCACTGCACCTCTGGATGGTCCAGCGGGCCTCTTCCTTCGTGCACGTGTCCAAGGGGACACTCTGCCTCTCCCCTCTGATGCAGCCTTCCAGCTGGACAGCAAAAGACCTGCGTGGGTTCTCACCATTGGCCCAGCTGCTCCACCCCAGAAACAGGAGCACCCTTTCCCCCACTGAAGGGGAGAGAAGGGCCTGGAGGTACTGATGCCTGGCCACCCTCCCTCCAATCCCTCCTCCTGGTGTAGTTCGAGGCCCAGGGTCCCCTCCACCAGCAGGGCACACAGAGCACATGGCACCCAGGCACCCAGCCCTCACCAGCAGCAGCTGGTGGCCCTCACGGAGTCCTGCCTTCTCGGCCAGCGAGCCCTGCTTGACCACGTGGACGAAGCTTCCTCGTGCGTTGCCCCCCAGCAGAGTGAGCTGAGTGAACAGGCCATCACCGTTGACTGTTGCGTGCTGCACTGATGGCCCCGGACCCCGCACCTGCCCCACAGAGGTGACCGAGGGCCGGAAGGGCCTAGATGGGAAACAAAGTGGTGGTCAGGCAGCAGAGGGGTTAGGGTTAGAATGCCTGGACACACTGCAGAGCTGGGAGGGGCTGCAGTGACACAGCTGCCCAAATTCCCCAGACACTGGGGCCTCCTGGCTCCAAGTGAGTCACTGTCTCAGCCCCTTGACTGAGCACATCGGGGGACAGCCACCCCCATGCTGCAGTAAATAGACCTGGAGCTGAGCTGCTCTCACAGCCCACAGTAGCCACAGAAGATGCCACCAGCACCTGAGCTGGCCACTGCTCCATCCCATCCTTGCTACACCCGGGATGCTGTGCAACCACTGCCCACTGGGCCTATCTGGCAGGAGTCTTGCTTCTTGGGCTCTGCCACACTGGTGGCCCTGGGCAAGCCCTGCCTCTGCAACCTCGGTTTCTTCCCCAGGACAATCAGAGGGTCTGATGGCAGCAAGGGGGACTCTAGGATTCCAGGACTCTGGGGAATGGGGTGATACAGAGGTCCCTCTCTGTGGGGGAGCAAGGAGGTGACAGGCTGAACCTCCTGTACCTTTCCAGAGAGAACTTCCGGAACATGAGGTTGACCTGCTCCAGGTCGTAGGCGTCCAGGCTCTCTGACTGGTGGGAGGAGGAGGAGGAGTGGATGGAGGGAGGGCCGAAGGAGTAGCGGTCGTGACTGTCATCTGCAGAGGAGCGGGGCCCATCAGGACCTGGAGAGGCCAGGGGCACCGAGGGCTGCCTGGGATACCCTTGCAAGGATGGCTGGGAATGCCCAAGGGCAGGAGGGCCAGGCACTGGGGGTGGCTTTGAGCCCCACAGGGCTGCGCCCCCATAGTGCCAGGGGCAGCTGGTGGAGCCCCTGCACCCCACCAATAAGAACATCCACCTCCCTGCAGGAGTCCTCTCTGATTAAGACCATGGACAGATTCTGGGTTTTAAGAATACCCTCTTGGTTTTGCCCAGGGAGCTCCCATTAGCAGTTGCTAGCTCTGCCTTTGAACTAGGACCCTTGGTTTTCATTCTGGGACCCCCTGAAGGCCTCACAACCACCCACTGCTGCAGAGACCATGGGCCTGGCATTCCTGTCCCTCCTCACCAGACATAGAGAGGGAAGACATCCCCTCCACACAGCGTTGGCCATCTGTGGAGGGATGTCTGAATCCTGCCCAGGCCTGATAACAAAGGCTCTCTGGAAAGGGAATTTTTCCCGACACTGCAGAATACTTTGGATGGCTGCCCAGGATCCTCTGCCCAGTTTCCCCTTACCAAAACTCTTTCAATTCTTCTCATTACGCAGCCTCGATTAGGTGCTAACCTCTCTTTAACACTTGATAGCTTCTGATGGTCCCCAATTAAGGAGGACCACTAATCTTTCCTCTGATCTGCTGGCAGCCCGGAGGGTGAGGGGCAGGGTGGGGCAGAGGTCCAAAATAGAGAGGCTGGCAGGGTGCACCCCAGGGCTCTGAGCCAGGCTTAATGCTGCCAGCTGCAGGGGTCTGGGGATGCTGCCACCCTCCCAAGGGGCAGAGCCATCTCGATGTTCCCTGTTGCCCTTGTCCTTCAGGTTCATCCAGATGCTCCCCAGGTTTGGGAATCTGCATCCAGCCGCCCCACGGGTTCCCAGCTGTGACACCACAGTGTTCATGCAGGCAAGAAATCGGGGATGGAAGTCTGTGTCCCAGGTACCCAGCAGGGGCCTGTGAGGTGTGCTGTGCTGAAGCAGACTTCCTGGCTGGGAGGGGAGGGTGGCCAGGGCTACACATGCACCCTCAGGCCTGGAGAACACGGGTCCTTGCTCTGGCTTTGGGGTGGCCCACCTGGTGCCAAGGGAATATCGCCATCCCCAGTATCTCCCCAGTGCCAGTGCTGCCACGGGGTCACTGCGGCACTGTCCCACAGCCTGGGTCCCCGGTGTCTGCTCCTCCCTCTCCAATTCCAAGGGATGGGACACACTGAGGCCTGCTGCCGCCTCGGCTCTGACCCCGTGTTCCCTACTCGTCTCAGGCAGGCTGGCAGCTCGACGTGCTCCCTGCTTACGGGAGCTTCTGCATCCAGCCGCCCTCTCTAGCTGCGCTTTCTGGCCTCTGAGACCCCATTTCTCCATGTCCAGAGAGTCAGCAGCACTGCTGGAAGCAGCCGTGGAGATCGGATGACACTGGGCCACGCGTGCAGGCTTAGTGCCTGGAAGTGCTGGGCTCCAATGCACGAGAACTGCTCCTTTTAAAGCTCAGATCCTCTTCTGGTCTTGCTCAGCAGCCGCACAGGCCTCGGGGACCTGGGGGACTCACGTGACCTTGCACTCCAGCCCTGCCTGGAATGTACCCCGCACCTGCCCCATGGGCCCACCACGCACGTGCATGCTGTTTCCTCAGTGGCCGTGCTGTCACCAAGGCACCTGTCACCCCTCTCAGATCCAAAGGAACCTACCGTCCAGCTCTAAGGCGTCGAACCCGCAGCTGTCATTGTCTTCTTCAACTGCACTGCAGGACACAAGCCAGGAGAGGGCACTTGTGAGTGTGTGTGTGCAGGGGGAAGGGGCGGGAAGCTTCTGGAATGTTCCAGCTTTCCAAGAAGCCTTGGTCTGGAGCAGCAATGTGGGGCAGAGTGGGTGTTGAGGGACAGGCAGGCACAGGAGGAGGAGGCAGGACCAGCAGTGGGCGTGAGGGGGTGAGGGGTGGCCCGCCCAGGCTCGTAGTCCAGCAGGTGAGGAGAGACCCTAGGTGCTCCTTGTTTCCCCGAGTTCTGGATCCCCATTTGTGCTCAGATGAGCCTAAGGGAGCAGGAGGGAGTGACCTCCCACTGCCCATAGGAGGCTCTCGAATAGACCTCAAGGTCTTCGAGAATCTACCACACCTCCCCATGCCGGCTGGAGTGGGGTGGGCCCTGGAAAACTGTGGGGTGGCTCGATGGGATCTCCAGGACAAGGCCACGAACCCAGTCCCTCCACTAGCCCTCGCTCTTGGCCCTTCCGGAAACCATCACCACTGTCTGACTTGGAAAACAGCAGCCTGACTGGATGGACCATTGCTAGATGCAGCCCTGCCGAGCGGATGGTTTTAAGGGGCAAGGAGGGTGGGGGCATCTGTGGGTCTCTGGTTCTGGTAGAAAAAGCCAAGCTCTGGTGCCACAGGACCCAAGAATGGACTTCTGGGCAGCACAGGGCCAAGGGACACTTGATAGCTGGTGGATGACCCGGAAAAAGCTGCTCGCCTGCTCTGATCCTCGGCTGCCTCATCTGCACAATGGGTCCCTGTGCCTCCCCCGCCTTCAGGGTCGCCACAAGGGCGGCTGGGCTGTGAGTGTGCTGGGCGGGAGGCAGGATGGGCGGGTGGGTGGCTGTTCACCTGCGGGGTGGCGCGTCTTCTTTGCAGCGCCTGACGATGGAGTCGTTGCCCGGGGGCTCGGCAGTGATTGACATGATGCTGCTCCGGCTCCGGTGGGGCTGCTGCACACAGGCACACATGGACGCGATTCAGGGCCCGGGCATGTACGCACTAAGGCTCCGAGGGCATAAATATTAGAGATGTGGAACTAAATTTAACTCGGATTCATTCCTGCCCACAACGCAGCCATCGTGGGCACTGCAAGCCAGTCCTAGGCAGCGGCGACCTTCAGAGGAGGCTTGCGCTCTGCCTGGGGCAACCACTGAGCATGGAGCACATCTGCTCCCCTATCTGCTCACGGGGAGGACATGGGGGTGGCTAGTGACCTGCACTGGCTGGGCCCTGTGTTCCTGCTGTGCCTGCTCTGGAAGCGATGACGTATGGGGTGGGTGGCTGCTGGAGGAGGGTGACCTGGGGAGCCAGGCCTGCAGCACCTTGGAGTTCGGTCCCCAGAACTGTCACTGACAGGACTTGGTCATTATAGAACCTCTGCCTCCCCCAGGGCCTGACTGGGGACGCTGAGCTGACATGCTTCCTGGAGCTTCCCTGGGGTTAGAATTTCTAAACCTGTACTTTCCACTGCCCGGCTGGGGTTGCTGGGGGTGGTGACACCAGGTTTGGGGCTTGGATGTTGCCTGGGTCTGCCCAGGTGGCTGGAGCCGAGGACTGGGGGGCACTGGGTCAGCGGAGGGGCATGAGCCTTGGCTCTGCTGCCACGGCACCTGCAGCTGTTGGTAGCCCCCTGCCCAGCCCACGACTCTCCCTGGCTATTGGAGCTGCCCAGGCTGAGAAGTTGTGGCAGAATTCTGGGCTGCCTGTGCAATTCGCTACAGGCCCTCTGAGGCCCATCTCCTCCTCCCACCAAGTGTTAAATTGGGAAAGGAGTTGGCAAGAAGGTGTAAATACATCGTGAGGCCTCTGAGATATCTTTAAACAAACACCAGGAAGGCCCGGGGTGTAGAGGGAGGGGGGCCTAGCTTGTGGGCTTGGGCTTGTTGAGGGGAGGGAGGTGGCCAGGCCTGGAGGTCACGGCTGGGGCCCAGGCTCGGCTGGCATGGGGGAGCAGGCAGCACAGAGCCTGCAGCTTACCATCTTGGAGAAGGAGCTGGTGATGGGCAAAGAGCGGGCAGAGCTGGGGCTGGCATCTGTGGTGTCGTCTCCGAAGCCCTTGACTGTCCCCATGGGGGCAGGGAAAGGGGAAGGAGCAGGGAGGGTTGGACGCGGAAACAAGGGAGGAGAGAAAAGGGAGGAAAATGAAAATCAGAGTCACTGGTCAGCGCCCCAAGCCTCCTGCTGACACAGGTGGCAACAAGGCCCCTTCCTCTTGGGGGCGGCCTGGCCTGCACTGGTGTCTGAGGAGGAAGAGACCCCTCAAGCATCTCTGGTTATCTCCCTGCCTGCTGTGGCTGCGAGGGGGAACTGGGCTTATTCTATGACATATCCCTGCCCCAGCCAGGGCTGGGCCCAGAACAGCCCCAGTTAAGGCTGTTTATCACTTATCTCTGAGAATTTTTTCAGTGGTCCCCATGCAGGGTCCCTGGTTGGCACTTTTGGCAGAATGATGCCCACGTGGAGCATGAAGTCCAGCAGAGGGGGGCCAATCTGTCACCTCCTGAGCAAAGCCTCCTTCCATGTCCACCAACCCTGTGCTCTACCAGGCACTGCCCAGGCTGTGTGCCCGGTCCCAGGCCTTGTCTGACAGCTCTGCTTTTCACCCTCCAGGCCCAGGGAGATCTGCCTAAAGCCCAGGTCTGGACTCCTCACTCTCTTTATACCCAAAGCCACCTGAAGGCCTTACCAGGCTTCAGTCCCAGAGCTCTGTGCTTTGGGATGGCAGGTCAGCTTTCCAAACCCCAAGCTTCGGGTACATCAGGGGTCCTCCCCAGGACTCTCTACTGATGCCTACTCTCCCCTTCCAGGCCAGTTTAACTGTCCCAGCCCTTCTCTGCCCCTCCTGCAGGTGGCCCTGATACTGTTCCCTCCTCACTGTGGCTCAGGGACATCTTCTAGAACCTTGTAGCACCTAGGCAGTAGGAGCTCGATTCCCTTTGCAAATCCCCCGTGGCTGAGCATCACTCTGACTTGCGGTAAGGACAAAGGAGAATTCTGAGGAAGTGTGTCATGGAGAACTGGGGTTGTGGATGGAGCAGCAGCCTCAGACACCAGGGATGATGGCACAGACCTCGGCTCTTGGGCCAGGAGCAGGCTTGGTGGAAAGAGAGGGACCGAAGAGGGGCGCCTCGGAGATTAGGGCCCATTGGATGACAATGATCACTGGTGCCTGATGGACCCCCTGCCCCCCGAGCCCCCCAGGCCAAGCCCGGATGCCCCACTGGGCTGATGGCTGCATTGGGAGGAAGAGATGGGCCGAGAAAGGCAGTGACAGATGAGGATGGACGAGAGGGATCCGTGCATCTTGCTGACCTTGAAAATCAGATGCTCGCTTGAGGCTGATGGGGGATTTGGCTCTCTGCAGCTGAAAGAGAGAGAGGAGGAAAAACAGGACAGAGGACACAAATCAAACAAGGCCCAGACACATGTCACCGGAGCTAAGAGAAACCAAGCACAGCAGGGTGAGACTATTCTGCTTTATGTCCTCGGGCCACCCGGGTCGTATGCTGGAGGCTTTTCTGAGGGTGGGACTGGGTGTGAGGTCTTCCTGGACCTAGCTTGGGGAGCTGCTGGTAAGGCAACCTCCCTTCCAGGGAGACTCAGCCACCCAGATCACAGATGGGCAGGGGCACTGGGGAATGGGACTGAGCCACACTGCTGCAAGACACAGGAGACTTCCGGAGAGGAGCGTCGCCATCCTGGGCCCCTGGTGTACCGAGCCCTGTGAGGCCCCAGGGTGGGAGAGGCAGAGAATCAGGCCTGAAGAACTGTCCCGTTCGTTAATTTATTCATTCATTTATTTATTCCATTCTTCCCTCCACTCATTCATCACTCATTGAGGGTTAGCCATGTGCTACATGGACTACACTGGACGCTGAGCGAGAGGACAGGATCACTGCTGTGACAGCAGCTTCCAAATGGGGCCTGGCGCGTGACAAGCACTCTAAACTTATTTGGGGAATAAGCAAATGAATTTGGGAATAATGCTCATTCCACCCCTCGCTTTGTACTGGTGTGGGCTTCACACTGAGCTACTCCCCAGACCTTTTTGTCTGTTTGTTTGGAGACAGGGTCTTGCTAAGTTGTGCCAGTTGGACTTTCAAACTAGCAGTTGTGATCCTCCTGCCTCAACCTCCCAAAGCACTGGGATTATAGGTGTGTGCTCTCACGCCTGGGTTCTCTTTTAAAATTTTCCATTATACTTTTAGGAGAAAGGGAATCACTAAGAACAGAAAACAGGTTCAAACCACAAGTTGGCATGGTTTCTGTTTCTCAGGCTAAAACAAGTCAAGTCACATCTAGGTGTCTCAGACCTGGGCAGCACTGTGCATGGTCTAGGGGGTCTCCCACCCTCAAGGCTGCCAGGGAGGCCCTGCCATCGTGCCCTGAGCCCACACCTGGATGCCCTTCAGGTTCATCCTGCGCCGAGGTGGGTGGTAGGGTGGAAAGTACTTGCTGTCTTCTGGTGACTCCTCAGAGGTGGATGAGTCATCAGCTTCCTGACCATTGGTCCTGGGGCTGGCATCCCCAAAGCTCTGTGGGATGATGGTGGCTGGCAGGTTCCGGGGAAGACTCTGGGGACAGAGAGACACCAGTGCTGGAGACAAGAGTGAGCAGCCGACAGTCAACTGGACAGCTGGCTGATGGCACATCATTCCCTCAGGCACCTGAGCTTGACACTTGTCTTCCTTCCTTTCTTTAGATGCCAGGGCCTACCACTCTAGCTCAGTGATCTCTCCTTCCCTCACCTTCCTGTCCCTACCTCTCTCCTACCAGGGTCTGGGCCCTGCCCTTGCCTTCCTATGTAGTAGCAAAGCAGCTGCCCCAGGCCATCTTGAGCCATTTCACTTGCATGCCTTGACTAAGGTCCCAATGTCCATCCCTATCTGAGCAACAAGTATAGAAAATATTGTGGAAGCTGGGTGTGGTGGTGCACAACTATAACCTCAGCACCTCTGGGAGGCTGAGGATCACAAGTCTGAGCCCAGCTCAAGCCACGTGGCAACTCTGCCATGTCTCAAATATGAAATAAAAAAGGGCGGGGATATAGCTCAGAGTGAAGTTCCAGGGTTCAATACCTGATGCTGGAAAAAACGCACTACAATAATAAAAAACAGTGCTTGGTATATCCTGAGTGTTTTCTAGCCATTACCTCATTTAATCCTAAGTTCATATTGTTAATAGTCACTGTATACAAAATAAGAGGCTGAGTCACAGGGCACTACGCAACCTTGGCGTGCCCTCCGAAGTGCTCTCCTGTACTTCTCTACACTAAATCCCTCAAAGGTGCCAGAAGAGCTGCAAAGACACTCAACACACTTGGTGCACCGTTCCTGCTCCCTCCTCCCACTCTGCTGTCCCCAGTCAGCAGAGCTGCGCGCCTGCCTTCCTTTGGGGCCTCTGCTCATGCTCCTCAGGAACTGGGGTGCTGGTCCCACCTTTCTTCACCCAATCAGGTGCCTTTGGCTGCATGCGTATATTCAGCAGATACTCACAGGCATGTCCCCTATGCCTGGCACTGGGCCGGGCGTTGGGAACAGGAGGACCTGTAGGGAGCGTCCATGTAATCATAAACTGTGCTAATCATTTGAAGGAGAGGTTGAGAGCATGTCACAGTGACTGTGGTTTCTACTGTGGGGCTGAGTGACTGTCACCTGGCGACACTTCAGCAAGACCAGCTGAGCAGATCTGGCCAGGTGAAGTCGGAGCAGGAGCATACTGGGTAGGGGCCACAGGCCTCCAGGGAGTACAGGCCTCCCTGGGCCCTGGCACTCCTTAAATTTGGAGTTGACAGTACTGTGTTGAAAAGCCATGTTCCTGTATTTGCCTTCTCTGTAGGACTCTGCAGTCTCTGAGGGGGGTGGGTGGCTCTGATCAGACTCCCCAGGGCTCAGCCACTCAGCTGCCTGGGTCGGAGTTCCTCCTTTGTAAATGAGAACGGAAAGCACAGTTTCCCTGCAGGATTGTTCTGTGGGTTAAATGGTGCCAGCACAGTCCCAGCCAGGAGGGTACCCTGGAGATCTCCGAGGACAGTGATCATGATGTCATCTGGATCAAGGGCAAAATTCATTCATTTCTGGGTGCCTGGGGTCATAGGCAAAGGCACTCTGCAACTCATACTGTCCCTTAGGAGTGTCACTCATGGGCACCAGCAACCTTAACCTACTGGTATCTTAAACCTGATGACCGTGCTCATTGGCAGGCGGCCTGAGGAAGGGCCAATGGCCAGCTGTGGTCAACTGGGAGGGGTCAAAGGTCCTGATGGGGAGGTCACTTGGTCCCCAGCTAGGATGTACCCAACCCAGAATTGTACCTGCACCTTTTAACTCCAAGACGAGTGGCTTCTACTCAGCACTATAGAGACATGGAGTCAGAGGACATGGATGATTCTGAGCACAGGAAGGAAAGATACTTCCAGCCCCAATGTGCGAAGAATACCTGCACAGGAGGTAGAGGCCCTGGCCAGTCATGGGCTGGTGGTGGGAGGGCACCGGGCTGCAGCCCACCTGGTCAAGTGTCCCGCTGTCCTTGGAGAGGCGCCGGAGCTTGCTCTCTAGGTTGACGATGCAGGCCTCCCGCCGCACCATCTCAATCCGCATCTCATCGTTTTTCTCCTCCAGCTCACGAATCTGCTTCCGGTACTTGTCTTTCTCGATCAGGCACTGTGAATACTGGGTCTGAGCTTCGTCTCGGGAGTGGAAGGCCTATGGGGGTGTTGGATAAAGGCATGTTATGGGTGGCATATGGTGTGAATCCCAGAAGGCTCACTGTGTAGAAGGCTTCATTGCCGGCTGATGGGGGTTCAGGAAGTCACTGGATCATGAGGGCTCTAACATCATCAGTGGGTTAATTCACCGTGAGGACCATAATTCCATGGCATTATTGGGAGTGGTGGAAACAGGAGGTGGGGCCTAGCTGAAGAGAGTGGATCACAGAGGCATAGTCTTGGGGACTCCATCTGGTACCTGACCTCTTCTTCTCTAGCACTTCCCCTTTCTCTGTACTTCCTAGTTGCCACGTGCCCTTCCACCATGATGTTTCTGCTTAGTCAAAGGCCTAACGCAATGGAGAGGCCCTGAGACCATGGACTGAAACCTCTGAAACCATGAGCCAAAGCAAGCCTTTCCTCCCCTACACTGACTTTCTTAGGTATTTGGTTATAGGGACACAAGTCTAACAGAGGCCGCTTTGGTGCCTCAACCTGACGATACCAAAGTGGTCCTAGGGACACACATCCACTCCAAGCCAGGTACCAGCCACAGTGTGGGGCTGCTGCTCACTTCTTGACCCTGACTCTGGGTGTTTCACCCATTCCCTTCTTCCTTAGTGCCATCCCTGGACTAGGCATCCTGCCTTGGTTCCCTGCCTGGCACTGTGTGAAGAGCATCCATGCATATCATTTGGAGTCTACACTCTGCCCCTAGAGGGGGTACAACTGTGGCTATTTCCACTTTACAGATGAGGACACTGAGGCCTCACGGAGCAGCCTGCTTGGATCTGAACCCCAAATGGCTGTGGATTCTGAAAGACGCATAGGATAGGATTCATCTTTGGACTAGAATTAGGAAAGATGGATTCCTGAGCAACCCTGTGCAGTCAGTGCCATCACACTGGTCAAAACTTGCTGAGGGAGCCCCGTGGCCTGGGGCAGAGGCCCCAGGGTGCAGCCTCCTGTCCCTGCACCTCAGGTAGGTATACCTGGTCCCGCTCACGCTCCACCTCCTCCAGCTGCAGCATGACAGTGGTCATGCGGTGCTTGTACATTTCGCAGTCCTTCCCCAGGGTTGAGCACTTGAGCTCCAGGTCCTCCTTCTCCTCCAGATACTGTGAGTGACAAAGAAAATCAATATGTGCATCAAGCAATCTATAGGTCAGGGCTAACAGCTGTTTTCTGGTGGTGCATCCTGTGGGCTGGAGCTGGCCTGTGCTTCCTGAGCTGGTGTGGTCAGAACATGGCCTGTCCTTCTGAGAGCCAGCTGCCTGACTGACAGAAAGGAACTTTGGTACAAGGTAGTCAATCTCACAGGAATGGATGAACCTACTGTGTGACCGGTAATGGGGTGCTGGGTGCTGGGAAGCATGGGGAATTGATATCAGGGGTCAGAGCTAGTCCTTGGAAAGGGCCAGTGGGCTCAGTGTACTCCGCTTGGAGAGCGGACAGGCTGAGGGTACCGGTTGGCCAATGCTGCCCCCAGCACCCCCAGGGCTCCTACCTTGTCCCGAAGCTCCTCAGCCTGGCGGACCTCCTCCTGCAGGTTGTAGATCTTATTGACCAGCTCCTGCCGGTCCTCCAGTGCTTCCTTGCGGTCATGCTCCAGGATGTCCAGGATGGCTTTGTCTGAGTCTGGCAGGCTGCGCTTGCCGGCCTGGGTGGGCAGGGAGGAGGGTGTGATGGTGCTGGGACTGGGGCAGTGGGGAGCAAGGTGGACAGGGAAGGCAGGGACCAAAGAGCCAGCCACACTCTCGGAGAGCAGAAGATTTTGTGCCAGGAAAGCAGAGGCAAGAAGAAATATCTCTTGGGGTCTTTAAGCAGCTTATCATTTAAGAAGTTTATCACCTGGAAAGAAGCATAAAACCTACTTCTGCTCAGGAATACTCAGAGCCCATTGTTCTCCCCCAGCTCTTCTCAGAGCCTAGAGGAGCACCAGCTGCTCCTCCAACCCCTTCGGAGGCAGAAACAAAGGCAGGGCTGCCCTGCTTTCCTGATGCCGTCCCCAAAGTATCAACTAATCTGCTCTGATTAAACTGGGATTCAGTCCCTGCTCTGAAACTGAGCCTGCCCCAGGCAGCCCATCCTGGGGATCATGCTGGAGAAGTACAGGGGATGCTTTTACTTTCCTTCCCCTGCAGTGTATTCTAGGATGTTCTGTCTCAGTGTTGAGGCCCTCCATATCCACACATGATTCTGGGATGGCAAGTCAGGGAGAAATTTGAAAGAGCCCTAGCGTGTAGCTGAGTTTCTTGGGATCTTTAAGAGCAAGGAGGCTTCCTAGATGTACTTTTCTATCCTCAGGGCTGGGGAATTGATTTCTGCGTGAATGGGGATTTTCATGGAGTATGTCAATGAAAGAAGCGATTTTGCAAGTGTGACCTCCTGTGATGTCATGTTTCTCATAAGGAGGCGGTTATGGTTCAGATCTAGACATCCCCCAAAGCCTCATTTGCTCTGAGGTGGGAGCTTTGGAAGGTGACTAGCTTGTGGGGGCGTTTACAGCCGATTTGCTGGTGGGAGGCAGGGTCTGGTTGGAAGAGGCAGGTCACTGCAGACATGACCCAGAAGGTTATGTCTTCCTTCCCAGCACCTCCTTTGCCTCTCTGCTTCCTGGTTGCCATGAGGTGAGCAGGTCTCCTCCCCTCAGGCCCTTCCACTATGCTGTTCTGCCTTGGAGCCAGCCAACTATGGACTGAAACCTCTATAAACTGTGAGCCAAAATGAACCTTTCCTCCTTTAAGTTGTAGCTGTCAGGTATTATGTCTCAGTGACAAGAAAGTGACTAAGACAGAGATTGGGTGGTCACCTCACAGAGGAAGAAAGTGTGGTGCCCAGGGATGACCTTCGTTGTCCCTGGTCCTGCAAGCTGAGACTCTGGACCCACACCCAGGTGTGTCCAACCCACTTCCCCTTCAGGACAGACAGCAGCTCCTCACCTGGATGATGGACTGCAGTTCCTGGATCTTCGTCTTCAGCATTTCATTTTCTCGCTCCAGTTCCAGGACCTGCTCCTTCTTGGGCCGACTCTCGATGTCATTCTTCAGCTTCAGAGACTGATTTCTCTCCAGCTTACATTCCTCCTCCATCTTATTCAACCGGTGCTTTAGTTGATCAATCTGAAACACCCAAAGGAGCCAAGGGGAGACTGCGGCTGGTGAGGACTACAGGGAAGAGCAATGCTTCCAATGCTTCCCCAGGTTTCGCTGGGGTTCCAGCACAGCCAGCAGGCCAGGGTACAGGGAGCTGTCTCCAGCAAAAGACATCACCATCTCCTTGCTGATGGACAATTCCCAGTTAGTTCATTTACACTACTTTTAAGTGGCTATGTGTCTCTTAGAAAATTCTCTCAGGGAACTGTTGCCGAAAAAGTTACAGGTCAGGACAAAATATACCCAAGCTGGTGTCTCCCTGAGGTGTGTTACTTATTTCAGTGGCCTTTCAAATGGATCCCTGGAACCCAGGGATTCCTCTGAAGAGCCCTAGGGTTATGGAAGGGAATGAGGACATGGATGCCACCCTAACTTCATTCTCCAGCAGCTCTGCTTGTACATCTTTTGTCATCTTGGACTTTACACAAGACTATTGGGAAAATTGGTACTGTTGTTAAAAAACAAAACAGCTTGAAATCCACTGACCTCTAAGTTCACAGGATCTCTGGCCTAAAAACATGTCCAGATTCCATGCCAGGATGGGTGGCTTCCTAGAGGAGGCAGCTACTACATCTGAAAATGGCATAACTGGAGATGTACTGAGTGTCATCCTCAAGAGTTTAGCATCAGGAGCTGGGGCCAGTAGATATCTTGATCCCTTGTGAGTAAACCTGTGTGCTTCCCCAAACTGGCCTTAGGAAGCATCCTGAACAAGACTGTGCTAAAGGGCTGTGGGGAAGAATAGAGGCACTGAAGGAGTGGATGTAATTTTCCACGTCTAGGATTGTGAGGAGAACAGCCTCGAGAAATCTGGCAGGTAGAAGGCAGTGGCTTCAACAAAGAAAGGTCTGGTACTGCACTTCTGTGGCTCAAGAAAAAGGTACATAGAGGGAAAGTAGCCTGGGGCAGAGAAATAATCCAGAGACTCAGCTGGCTGGATGTCCTTTCAATTCCACACACACTTTCTCATTATTAACACATCTCCAGGGAAACATAATACAGGAGAAAGTTCCAGGAGAGAAATTTCTAAGTCCCTGTCAGAGGTTAGTTTCTCTTTTTAGTCATGCTGAAAACAAAACAAAACAAAAACCAAACCAAACCAAACAAACAACCAAAAACCTCTTTAGGATCTCCGAAGATCAACCCAAGTCCTGGGCTGGGTCCATATCCCCAGTTCCACAAAGGTTATCAAAGACTCATGGTGCAGAAGCTTGGGAACCCTAAGGGCGGATAGGGCAATCCAGGGCCAGCTTCCTTATTGTCACTTACAAGCAAAGAGACCTGAGGCCAATAGCTAAGTAAGTGGTAAGGCTAGAAGCCAGAATCTGAACTCAAACCTACAGGCCTTTACAGTTCATGCTCTTAGCTGAAATGCTCTACTGTCTGCTATGCCACTAACTCAATTCACCTGCACTCTGTGGATTGTTTACTGATCTGTCTGCCTCACTAAATTGTAAGTGACCCAAGCAGAGCTCAGGTTATTTATCCCCGTGTCCCTCACAGTGCTTAGCACAGTGCCTTACACATGGCAGGTGCTTAATAAATATTCTGAGAGTCTATTTTCTACCCAGGAGCCAGAGTGATCCTTCTTAGATATAAATCAGCTGTCACTCCTCAGCTCTCAATCCTTCAGTGGCTTCCATCACAACTAGAATAAATTCCAAAGTTCTTACCGTGCCCTCATGATGTGGACCCCCGCCATCTCTCCCACCTCCTTTTGTACCATTTGTTCATCTGGCTCCAGCTCCAGTGGCTTTTCTGCCATTACTCAAGAAAAAAAGGAAGAGAAAAAAAAAAAAAAAAAGAAAGAAAAAGCCAGCGCCCCACCCCCACCCCCTTCAGGCCTTTGTATTTGCTTTTCTTTACACTGCATGGCTGGCTTCTTCTCTTCAGATCCTTACTTACATATTCCCTTGTCAGAGTCCCTATAAGATGGCATCCTTCATTTTCTATCCTGACTCCCTCTTCTCTTAGTAGCACTCAAACTATGAGGTATCTATGTATTTGTTTTCTGATTATAATGTGAACTGCATGACGACAGGGTCTTGGTCTGGCGATAATCTATTCCTGGAAATGAGCCGAGTTCATGGTGGGATTCAATAAATACAAGGAAAGAATGAACGTGGCGAATTCCCTCTCTTTCTTCATTTAGGCGGTAAACTCTTTAATCACGTCAATCACTTGGCTGGTGGTTTGTTGGCTGATAAATGCATCGACGACCCCATTGTGCCAGGAACCATGCTGAGCTTTGTGGATACAGACCTTATGGACAGCATCATGGCCCTAAGGAATTTACCTCCCACAGGACAGGCGCAACATCCATTTCCTCAATTTCCCTGCATGCCACATGACCGGGTCTCTCCGTATCCCACTTTCTCATCACTATGCCTGGCACAGGATGTGTGCGCATGTCTGCACATGTGCAGAAGTAATCTGGACCCAGTAAGTTCACTGCATCTTTGTGCGCATGCGTGCGCAAGCGCAGAGAGGATCAAGGGCGCAAAACCAGAGGCTCTAAACCCGCCGAAGTCAGTCTGCTCATGCACACAGTGGGTTTAGATCTCCCTCCCGCCAGTCTCCTGTCATCTGGCTGGGTAGGACTCTCTGGTGTTGCCTGTATGAGCAGGTCGGCATGTGCCCCTGTGGTAGTACTGAGCCCCAGGGACATTCACTTGTCCCTCCCTCAGCTTGGCGAGTAGCTCCATTGCCCCTACCTCAAGTTGGAGGTCTCGGCTTCTCATCACAGCCATGTTTTTCTCTTCACTGAGCTGGGCGTAGCGCATGGCCAGGTTATAGTTGTCGTCCTTGACCTTGACCAGCTCATCATTGTAGCTGTCCCGCTCGTCTTTCATCTTGTAGTACCGGTCCTGGAAGGTCAGCAGCTCCACCCGTGTAAGCGTCAACTGCTTTTTCTCATCCTCCAGCTGCCGGGACTTGGCCAGCAGCTCGCAGCGCTGCAGGTCCTTGGCCTTCATCTGCTGCTGCAGCTTGATGACTTCGTTCATCAGGAAGTGCGTGAGGCCCTCGTGGCCCTCCTCCACTGCGGAGAGGGGCACCCTGTTAGGCTCAAGGGTGAGGCAGGGGCCATTCACTCAGCCACTCACCGACACTGTGCTGAGCTCTTACGCCCATACACCCACCCCCACAGTCCAGATGATGGCAAAGCCACTTACCCACAATGGTGGAGAATCTCCGGGTGGGCTCTTTCCCAGTCACCAGTTTATACAGTTCTGGGTAGTAAAATTCTAGGCTCTCCAAGAAGACCACATAGCCTCTTTGCCCTTTGGTGTGTAGAATGTCTAATAATCGGCCTAGAGGAAAGACCACATCACTCAGGAGAAAATTATATATCTGATTGGGTGCAAATCTCCACCTTCAGTCTTACCTTGCATTTTCTCCTTCAATAACCTTAAAGAAGCTAGATAGTCTCACCATGTTCTACCACTCCTGAGTTGGACCATGGAGTCAGATAATGTAACCAAGGTACCAGGCCCTTGGCATGGGTTCAGGGAATGTTCGTCTTTTGATAATCAATTGGTAGAACTAGGATTAAACAGAATTGCAGGCATGGGAAGGAACCAGCAATTTCGAAGAGCTTCCCCATGACCAGGGTTAAATTATTCATACAAGCACCTGCTCTTCTGGGATTGAAGGAAGTTAGAAGTATATGAAATAATATATGGCTCCCTGGGATTCAGAGCAAGAGGACAAATATTTGGGTGGGAAGCTTTTAAGAAAAGTCAGAGGGAGGAGGCATAGCTCCATGTTTTTTGGATTTTTATTCCACAGCCTGGAAACATCTTAACCTACTTTTACTCTTCCCACTTGTTTACAGTTTCCATCCTACTCATGAAGGTTTGGATGTCATTTGTCCCCCAAAAGTTCATATGTTGGAAGCTTGGTCCTCAATGTGGAGATACTGGGTAGTGGGACCTTTAGAGATGGGACTTAGTGGGAGATCCTTAGGTCATTTGGGGTTGTGCCCTTGGAAAGGATGGTGAGATTCCGATCTCTCTCTGGCTTCCTGTTGGAGATGTGATCTCTTCCTCACACACACACACTCCTGCCACGATGTGAGACAAACAAGAGGGCCCTCATCAGAGCTGAGTTGATGCTAGTACCATACCCTTGAATATCTCTAACTGCGAGCTAAATGAACCACTTTTCTTTATAAGGTTAATCTGCCTCAGTTATTTTGTTCTAGAAATAGAAACAGGGTAAGACACTACTGATTCCACGTATTGTTTACACTTTATGGCCTTTCCTTAAACATTCTTTTCAGATATTTTCCCCCTTGAGGTCTTAGACTTTATCTTTTCCCCAAGAAGATATGATATAAATAAATTTCATCTTGTGTCAATCCTGTGTTTGAGGAAGCTGCTTGGAGCCCTGTGTTAGAAGGATTCCAAAGTTACATTCAAACCCAGTGGGAAGGCATGCTGTGATTAATTAAGGATGTTGGCCACGGATGCAAAAGAAAGTTACAGCATACGAACCACTTATCATCAGTCACACTGCAGGACCGTGATTTCCAAACCTTTTAAACTACAGTCACAAAAAGAAATAAATTTTACACTGTGACCTAGTGCCTATATACACAGATAAGTATACAAACATATATATGTGCACACCCACACATACATCAAACTGAAACAAGTTTCACAAATATGCAAATTACTTTTACTGAGTATTATGGAGTTCCACGGCCTCCCAGGCACTCCAGAAAAGCCTGTGGATCCCTTCTCAAAATAATATTTAAAAAAAACTGATTAAATACATCTGGTTACAAAGAAAGCCAATTATAATACAATTACCAGATATTAAATAAATCTGTGATTCAGTAATAAATGTGCTACTTTTAATGCATTGAATAACAAGATCTCTTGGTAGGTCTGATAACTACTGTAATTTTGAGGGAGAGATGAGTGTAAATGGTATTTTAAGACACCTGCAAAGCTGTAATGTGGGATACAGAAATATATGTAGTTTTTATTGTTGACAGTGTTGCAGGGATTAGTAATCACTACCGGGATTTGTTGCCTGCCACCATTCATAGTTGAAGGCAACGCTACAGTTTAGTTTATGTTTGTAAAATCAAGATGTAATTTCCTCCCTCTCTAAGTTCATGGGCTTTGAATCCTGTATCTTAGTGGGCTGACAAGTGTAGGTGGTGGTCTGTGGACCCACGTTTGAAAAATCCCTGGCCTAGAGAAACCCCAATTTGGGACAGCTAGGGTTGGCCCTCCTTGTGCCCCAGGGGGCTCTTCAGGTTACCTGCCCGGTTGATCTTGGATGGCAGCATGGGGGCGCTAAGCACTTCATCTTCGTCTTGCTCATCAATGACCTTGCACTGGCGCAGGTAGGGGGTGAGTTTGGCCGGGTTGATGTAGCGGCTCAGCATGTGCCGATTGCATTCCACGTTCTCCCACAGGGCGTCCTCCTCGTCCTTCAGCGTCTCCATGTACTCGTCCATCTCGGACCCGCCTCCTTCGGACAGAACCTCGCGTGGTTAGTGCCAGCACCTTCCCAGAACACTCCATAAGCTGCTCTAGCGCGAGCTCACAAATATAGTGTTAAGTTTTTAAAAAAGTATGATAGAGAAAAGTACATCTGGCATTTTACCTTTTAGCTGAGACAGGGGCAATGAATATAATATAAATGTATTTTCCTTATATACTAATCGTGAACAATGGAAGGACGGGCCATACAAATTTTAAAAGGTTGTTTATTGGCGGAGAGAGGGAAAACTTGGCCATTGGAGTATACTCTTCCCACCTAAGGTTTTATCTTACTAAATATATCTTTCCCCAAACAACAGTAAATTGTTTTAAAACTTCACATAGATGGTATTCTACTGTATGTTTCCTTTTTCATTTGGCTTTTCCCCCCTCTGTGTTTCTTTGAGATTTATCTAGGTGGATTTGTTTCATTTATTTTTTAAAAACAGCATTATTGAGATATAATTCACATACCACACAACTGCCAATTTAAAGTATACAATTCAGTGTTTTTAAATACACTCCTGAGGCTGTGCAATAACCACCACAGTCTAATATTTTAGAATATTTGTGTCCCCCTTAAAAGAAACTCACAGCTGGGCGAGGTGGTGCAGCCTGTAATCCCAGCACTCTGGGAGGCTGAGGCAGGAGGACCCCAAGTTTAGCCCAACCTGAGTAACTTAGTGAGTTACTGAGAACCTGTCTCAAAACAAAAACGCAAAAAAGAGTTGGGGAATGTAGCTCAGTGCGGAGGCATTGGGTCCAACACTGAGTACTTCCAACAAACAAACAAAAAACCAAACAATCCAACAAGCCACCAAAACCCATAAAACCAAACCAAAACCAAAACAACCACAACAGCAAAGAAACCACAAAACTCATACCACTAGCAACCTCCTGATTTCCTTGCCAATGCCTTCATTTTCAACCACTAATCTACTTTCTGTCTCTATGGATTTGCCTACCCTGGATGTTTAATATACACAGAATCATAAAACGTGTTCTTTTGTGACCAGCTTCTTTTAGCATAACATTTTCAAGGTATATCTGTGTTGAAGAATGTTGTACCTCTTTCCTTTAAAAAAGTTTTACTGAGATATAATTCACATGCCATACAATTCACCTTTTTAATAAGTACAATTCAAGGATTCAAAGAATTGTGCGACAATCACCACAATTAATTTGAAACCATTCCTGTCCTTTCAGAAAGAAACCTCACACCTTCGTCGGGCACTCTGCCTCTCCCCCTAAATCAGGCCCTTAGGCAACTGAGCCAATTGCTGTCTCTACCGATTTGCCTTTTCTGGATATTTCTTATGAAGTCTTATATTTATAGTATCTGTGACTGGCTTCTTTCCCTCAGCTTTCAAGCTGTAGTATGTATCAGTATTTCATTTAAAAATTGCCAAATGATTTTTCATGGTGTGAATAGAACACATTTTGTTATCCCTTCATCCATTGATGGGCATTTGAGTTTTTCTACTTTTATTCTATCATGAACCTTCCTATACAAGTTCTCATGTGGATTTATGTTTTTATTTCCCTTGAGGAGATTCATAGGAGTGGAATTCCAAAGCCATACAGTAATTCCATATGTTTCACATTTTGAGGAACTGCCAAACTGTTTTCCAAAGCAGCTGCACCATTTTACAGTCCCACTAGTAATGTGCTAGTGTTCCATTTTCTCCAGTCTTGCTAATAATAGTTATCCTCTTTGCTTATATCATCATTATGCTATAGGAAGAGAGGTGGTATCTCATTGTGGTTTTGATGTACATTTTCCTAATGACTAATGATGTTGAGCATCTTTTTATTGGACATTTGTGCACAGAGATAGGAAGGAATCATTAAAAAATATGGTGAAGATTTAAATTTTTAAAATTTATTACAGTAAAAGACACGTCAGCATTAATTCCCCTCAAAATACTCCCCTCCCCCTTTGAACACAGTATCCCATCATTCCTGGCACTTTCTGAAGCGGTTCTGGAAGTCCTTTTCTGCGACTGTATTTAGTTGTGTTGTTGTGGCTGCCACAATGTCCTGAATTGATCCAAAACATTTATCTTTCATGGCCATTTTGACTTTAGGAAAAAGACAGATGTTGCCTGGTGCCAGATCCTGTGAAGAAGGTGGATGAGGACACACTGTCATGTTTTTGTCAGCCTGCTTTTCTGTTGGATGGCACTTGGCAACAGTATTCACTGTGTTTTTGATCACATCTTGTGAAGACACTTGGGAAAGAGAACTTCCACAATGGCTTCAGAAAATGGTAAGAATGATGGGATGAATGTGTTGGAAGCCAGGGGGAGAATTTTGAGGGGGATTAATGGTAATGTGTCTTTTACCAAAATAAATTTAAACATTCACCGTATATTTTGATCACACATCATATCTATTGAAATCCTTTCCCATTTTAAAATTGAGTTGTCTGTGTTTTTATTATTGGGTTGCAGGGGTTCTTTATGTATTCTGGATGCAAGTCCTTTATCAAAACACAAAACTTGTGAATATCTTCTCCCTTTCTGTCATGTGTCTTTTTACTTTTTAAGGGCAATGTAGCATAAAAATTTTAAATTTGATGTAGTTCAATTTGTTTTTTCTTTTCTTACTTGTGCTCTGGAAGGCATAAAATAATTGTTTAATTCAAAGTGAGGAAGACTTATTCCTATTTTTTTTTAGAGTTTTATATGTTAGCTCTTACATTCATGTCTATAATCCATTTTTAGTTAATTTTTATGTTTTATATGAAGTAGTGATCCAACTTCATTGTTTTATGTGTGGACACCTGGTTGTCCCAGTCTAATAGGTCAACAAAACAAAACAACTCCCCCTGCTCCCCCAGAAATCCTTCTACTCTTTCTCCATTGAATGATTCTGGCACCTTTGTTGGAAATCAACTGACCACAAATATAAAGGTTTGTTCCTGGACTCTCAATTCTATTCCATTGATTTATATGTCTCTCTTTATGCTAGCACGACATTGTCTTGATCACTATTGAGTTTCGAAATTGGGAAATATAAGTCCCCTAACCTAGTTCTTTTCAAGTCTATTTTGGCTAGTAGGGGCCCTTTTATAATTCCATTGGAGTGTTAGTTCAGTGAATCCACTGAATATGTAGCTCAGTTTGGGGAATATTACTCCCTAACAACATTAAATGTTCTGATCCATGAACATGGGATATCTTTCCATTTATTTACATCTTTAATTTCTTTTAGCAATATTTTATAGTTCTCAGGGTATGATATAATTTACATACAAGGTTTGTGTGTAAAGCGTTTGTCCCCAGGGTGGCACTCCTGGGAGGTGCTATGGGCCTTTAGGAGGTCAGGCCTTATGGAAGGTCTTTATATCATTGGGGGGCATGCCATCAAAAAGGATTGTGTTACCCTGCCCCTAACTCAAACCATAACTGCTCGCTCTGATACATACTTTCACTGTGATGTGCCACTGTCACCAGAACTCCAAACCAATAGGACCCCAAACATTGAACTTGAATCTCCAGAATCATGAGCCACAATAAACTTCTCTTCACTTCATAAGTAGCTTGTGTCAGATATTCCATTATAGTTACAGAAAGCTAACACAGTATGCAGGTTTTGCACTTCTTTTGTTAAATTTTTCCCAAGTATTTTATTATTTTGATGACATTGTAAATGGGAATTGCTTTCTTAATTTCATTTGTGGAGTGATCACTGTTGGTGTATAGATACACAAATTCTGAAACCTTGCTGAAACCATTTACTAGTTTTAATAACTTATTAGTAGATGCCTGAGGATTTTCTCTACATAAGATCATGTCACCTGTAAATAGAGTTTTAAATCTATCTTTCCAATATGGATGCCCTTCATTTCTCCTTCACACCTATGTCCCCTGGCTAGAACTTCTAGTACATTGTTATTTGGAAGTGGAAAGAGTAGACATTCTTCTCTTATTCCTGATCTTAGGGGGGAAGTATCAGTCCATTCACCATTAGGTATGATATGAGCTGTTTTGTTTTGCTTTTAAATGGATAAAACATGTTATCAGGTTAAGAAAGTTCCCTTCATTTCTAGCTATTGAATATTTTTGTCATGAAAAGATCCTTGATTTGATTCTGTCAAATGCTTTCTCTCAATCTATTGAGGCTATCATGTGGTTCTGTTTTTTACCCTATTGATACGGTACACTGCATGAATGGACTTTCAGATGTAAAGCAAATCTTGTATTCCTGGGATAAATCCCACTTACTCATGGTAGTGGCTTCTTTTTCTTCTCCTTCATCTCCTCTCTTTTTTTTTTTTTGGTATCGGGGATCGAACTTGGGCCCTTGCGCTTGCACAGCAGGCGGCGAAACCACTGAGCTAAATCCCCGGCCCTCTTCATCTCCTCTCTTATTCTCTCCCTTTTCTGAGGCAGGCCCTCACTCAGGTTGGTGTCAGACTTGCTGTGTCGCCCAGATAGACCTTGAGCTTGTGAACCTCCTCCCCCTCAGCCTCCCAAGTGCTGGGATCACAGCACACACCACCACATCCAGCTCAGTCATGGTATTTACTTCTTTATGTGTGTTGCTGGATTCAGTTCATTAGTATTATTTAGAAATTTTTTTTGGACCCAGGGATCAAACTAGGGACCTGGTACTTGCGAGGCAGGTGGTGGAACCACTGAGCTAAATCCCCGGCCCATTATTTAGAATTTTTACATCCATATTCATGAGAGACACTAGTCTAGTTTCTTTTCCTGTGATGTCATTTTCTGGCTTTGATATCAAGTCACACTGACTCATAGCATGAGATGGAAAGTGTTTTTTTCTCTTCAACTTTTGGGAAGAGTTTTTGAAGAATTAATATAATTTCTCTTGTTAAGTAGAATTTATAAGTAAAGACACTGGCGTATAGACTTCTATGAGTTACTATTTACTTTATGAGTCACTATTATTTTCATGGATTTAATCTCTTTCCTTGTTGTAGGTCAGTTCATATTTTCTGTTTTTCTTGAGCCAGTTTCAGAAGTTTGTGTCATCCTAGGAATTTGTCCACTTCAGCCAAGCCATCTAATTTATCAACAATAATTGCTCATAGTTTCTTTCCTAATCTTTTTTGTGTCTGTAAAGTTCAGTTATAATGTTCCCTCTTTCATTTTTCTTTCCAATAATTTAAATTTTCCTTCTTTTTTTCTAGTCAGGCCAGCTAAAGTTTTCTCAATTTTGTTGATATTTCAAAGAATCAACATTTTTTTTCTCATGTTGGGTATTAAATCCAGGGACTTCACACTGAGCTATACCTCTAGTCCCTTTAATTTTTATATTGAGGCAGGGTCTTGTTAAGGCACTAAGTTGCCCAGGCTCTCAAACAGCTGGCATTATAGCATGTGTCACTATACCCAGCTGAGAATCAACTTTTGATTTAATTGATTTTTCTCTACTCTTTTTCTATTCTCAAATCAATTTATTTCTTTGCTAGTCTTTATTGTTTTCTTCTTTCTCCTCATTTTGGGTTTAAGTTAGTCCTTTTTCTACTTTTGTAAGGTAGGAGGTTGTTTGTTTCAGGGCTTTCTTCCTTTTCAGTATAGGCATTTATAGGTATAATTTTCCTTGGAATATTGCTTTAGTTACATCCTGAAGGTTTTGGTATATTGTGTCTCCACAAACATATTTGCTCACTTCTAATTCCCATATGATTTTCTAATTTCCTTCACAAATTTCTCTTTGACGCATTGGTTACTTAGGAGTATGCCATTTAACTCCCCCCCATATTTGTAAAGTTCCTAAATTTCCTTCTATTATTGATTTCTAACTTCATTCCATTATGGTTGGAAGACAAACTCTGTCATTGTGATACTTTCAAACTTATTGAGGTTTGTTCTATAGCCTAGAATGTAACTTATTCTGGAAAATGTCTTATGTTGTGGTTGAAAATATGTGTAATTCTACTGCTATCAGATGGAATGTCCCGCAGATTTCTGTTAGGACTACTTTGTTTACAGTGCTGTTCAAATCTCCTGTTTTTTGATCTTCTATCTAGTTGTTCTACCCATTATTGAAAGTAGGGCAATAAAGTCTCCAACTATTATTGCTAAATTGTATATTTCTCCTTCCAGTTCCCTAACCTTTGCTTCATGTATTTGGTGCTCTGTTAGATGCACATAAAATTCCCTGGTGGGTTATTATTATGAAATGTTCTTTTCTATTTCTAGCAATATTTTTGTTTTAAAGTTTATTTTATCTGCTATTGGTGTAGCCATTCCAGTTCCCTTATGGTTGTTGTTAGGATGGTATATATCTTTCTGTCCTTTTATTTTTAATCTCTTTACATTTTTTAATCTAGAATGTGTCTACTGTATACAGTATACAAGTGATCTAGTTTTTAAAAGTCCAACTTGATAATTCCTCATTTTTGATTGGTTTATTCTTTTTTAATTGTGTATATTATTCCATTGTAAGAATATACAATATTTTATACATTCTGTCATTGCTGGATATTTAATTTCTCCCCAGTTTTCACCTGAATATTTAGAAAAAAAATGGAAACAACTGAATTATTCAGCAGTAGACATTCCTGATCTTTTTGCACTACAGGGTGCTCAGTGTGCATTTTAAAAGCACATGGTAGCTGGGTGTGATAGTACATACCTGTAATCCCAGGATTCTGGGTTACTGAGGCAGAAACATGACAGTTTGGAGCCAAGGCTGGGCAACATAGTGACTTAATGAGACTCTGTCTCAAAACGTGAGAAAGGAGTGGAGGATGTAGCCCCGTGCAAAAGCCTTGAGTATAATCCCTGGTAACCCCTACCCCACCCCCACCTCCACCTCCACATATGGCTTGCTCAGTGCTGTAAGCACAGGAGAGAACTGAGAATGAGGTGCTAAGAACTTATGCCCTGCAGGTCACCAGGAGCAGCCTAGGAAGCAGGGGTTCCTGTCCTGCATGGATGAGGCGCTGTGGATGGCATGTGAGACCATAGGTACGGGGTGCTCAGTGCTGCAGAAATGCTCTCTCCCAGCCCAGGTGGTGAAGCCGTCACTCTGGCAACCATCAGCCAAGAAGGAAATGACTAGGTGACATCTGTTTTCCCAAGCAGAGATGAAAGGGGCTTCCTGCCTCAGAGCAAGCAACCACAGACCTTCAGCCTTGCAGGAGCCACGATACCAAGAGCACTCTGTGCAGCACGGCTATGGGGCCACCACGGGCTGAGTGGTCCCTGGGAAAGCTGGCCAGCATGGGAGCATGTGGTAAGCACCACGCTGGGCACGGAGGTAGCAGAGGCATTTCCTGCACAGTTCCTGACCTTGAGGTGCTCAAGGTTCAGTGCTAGGTGTTGGCCATCTACACAAACAGCTGCAATGTGACATGCAAGAGGCAGCCCAGACCCACAGAAGGGGTGGCAGGGAAATTGCCAGCAGAACAGGAAGTGCCACCCTGTGCCAACACTGCCTCTGACCCTTCATAAAAATTGTACCACAGCCACCCAGAGAGGTGCCGTGATCGTCCCTGTTTTGTAGACAAGGAAACCCAGATTCAGAGAGCCTAACAATTCACTGTAGGTCACACGGCAAGTATGAACTGGGATCCCACTTAGACCTCCCACACCAAGACGCTCCTAGGACTCCTTGCCTTGGGTCAGGGGGGGCTTCTGGAGCAGGTGTCTGCTGGGCAAGGGGGGGCTGTGGTACACTGGGCCCAGCTGCCCCCATGGGGAGCCACGAAGAGTCAGGACAATATTGCATCTGCTGCCCAGCAGGGTTCAGCTGCAGACTTTTGCCAGTGGCTGAGAGGGGCTTTTGTCTCTAGTAGGCCTGAACACCTGTTCACCATGGCCAGGTCTCCCTCCCCACTGTGATCCCTGGAGAAATGACCCAAGTGCATCAGGGGACCTAGTCAGGAGGGTGGGTAGAGGTGTCACAAACACTGTCATGTACGGCAGGGTTGGTAACACATTCCATGGTAGCATCCACTACTGCAGTGACAACACTAAGAGACACAGCTGTGTGCAGCAGCCCGGATAGGACTCAGGAGCATGAAGCTGAAAAATAGAAAGTCACTGAAGGCACAATACAGTCACTGAAGGCTTGTCCAAACAGGCTTCAAAGCACATCAAATAAAGTTGGGTGTGGTGGTGCACACCTGTAATCCTGGCACTCTGGGAGGCTGAGGCAGGAGGATGGCAAGTTGGAGCCCAGCCTGGGCAACTTAGTGACTTAGCGAGACCCTGTCTCAAGATGAAAAAGATGGAGGATGTATCTCAGCGCCAAGGTACTAAAGTCAATCCCCAGTACCACAATAAAACACCCCAAACAAACAAAAAGTCACATGCAACAAAACTCTGCTGTCCAGGGCATTCAGAAAAACTGCACTGGGGAGCAAGGGGCTGGTCTGATCAGAGTGGAAGCTCGCCTTGGGGAGGACAGCCACACACATGTGACCTTGGGAGGGTACAGGGGACGTCACGATGCTGCTGTAGCTGAGGTCAGGGTGTCCATGTTGTTGTTCTCTGCCACATGGATGCGTGCTGTGCATACATCTTTACTGCGTGTGAAACGCTCATGGACAGTGGGTAGTGAAGCTGCCCTCAAAATAGAACAACATGCTTTGGACCCCATTCAGGCAGTTTTTCTCTTCCAAACACTATAACTCAGCCAGACTCAGTGCCATCACCGGGCACCAAACCAGTGGCCTGTGTCAAGCTCCGGCAGTTTCTCTGAAAACAGTTTGCCCAGAAATGCAATCTTAGATGAGGAGGCTGTGAATTCCATTGGCCCTCTCGGCTCATGGCCCATCTCTAACCTCAGTCAGAGCTGCAAAGTGTGGCAGCACTGACCCAACCTGGGTGGGGTCTGGCTTCCAGGTCCCCGGTCCTTGGGTCCCTCTATAAACAGCCCCAAAGCAAGTTAGGCTCCAGGACCGGGTTCTGCGGGGACTGCCTTGGTGCCTGCCTTTCCTGGGAAGCACAGGTCATGGGGACCTGCCTTCCCATGCCCAAAGTCCATGACAGCCACAGGCACCCTCTTGCCCTCACTCATTCGAGGCATTTATCATGTGTCCCCTCTCGCCATTACTATCAATCCCAACATCTTGATCTCAGCCTCAAGTTACCATCCACCTATTCCATGGCCTCACTGCAACCGTGACCCTGGGCTTTTCTCTGACTGTTCACCAAACAGGGCTCCAAGCACAGCCTGCTTCCTGCCCCTCCCTTCCTCAACTTTCACACTGAGTCTCAGAGAACCCCACTTGCCATTTTTCAATGTAAAAGAGATGACACATGTACAGTACCTGGCATGTGGCAGGTGCTCAATAAACAGGAGATGCGGAGCTGTCCCTGAGCTCTGATACATATACTTCCTGCTGGCTCCTGTTCTCCCTTGGCCAGTCTCCCACTGGATCTGCAGCCTGGATGCCTGGGACCTGAAAAGAGAAAGACTATCAGACCTGGAGCAGGGGTGCAGGGTAGAGGGGAAAGGGAAAGTAATAGATCAAAGGGTGGGTGCTCTGCTATGGAAGAAAGACCTGTCACCTGACAGTGACAGGTGGACCACACCTGGCAGGGGAGAAGGGCTTCTGCCCCATCCAGTGGTGTGGACATCTGGGAAGGCCACAGACCTCTATGGGTAGAGACCTTGGGTTGCCATGGGGTGACTCCCAGCCACCACGAAAGTTCTCTGCAGGGTCTGACCACAGCACCTGTAGAGCTGAGCTGCTTTCAGTGGCTACAAACTCATCAAGTTGAAGGCAGCAAGCAGTACTCTGACCTGGCAGAGCTGGCTTCGCTGTGAATCACATCTCCGGCCTCCAGCTTGCCATGGGCCTGGGTAGGAAGCCTCCGTGGTACACACACTCTAATTTCTCAAGGGTTGAATTGCTCACGGTGGCCGACAAGGCCATTTCAAATGCCAGACTCAGCTGCTCCAAGGCCCAGCTGGGCCTCTGAGCTTTTCGGAGCAGGACCAGTTCTCCTGGAAAGGAGGCCAGGGAGAGGGATGGGGTCCTCACAGCCTGACAAGGTGAAGAGGGAGGGGTCTTCCACCTGGCCTGACAGCTGTCCCAACTCCCAGAGGTCTTGGGAAGCTGCTCAAGACCTCTCTGTGCTGCAGTGACAAGGACTCTGGACACTGCTGTGTAATCAAGAACTTGCTGGTCTTGGCTTTGAGCATTAATCACAGGTGACACCAGGTCTCCCAGGGCTGACGGAAGCTGTTCCTGCTGGTGCCGTGCGGGTGGGGGAGCTGACAGAGGCCCGGGGCTGGGGAGGGACAGGGATGCATCTCTGGTGGACACTTTCTCCTTGGTCTCCTTACAGGCATCCTGTGCTGTGGTGGGGACAGGAGGCACATGGCTGCCTAGGACTGTGGCCAGGGCTGGGGAGGTTGTGAGAGCTCTCACCCCAGGGAAGGTCCACAGACCCACAGGCTGGCGAGCAAATTCAGGGGAACTGATAATCTTCTGCATTTATTAAAAAAAGAATATTTCTTTTATCAGCCCCCAGAAGAGGATTCTTATTTATTTTTAAATTTTAAGAAAGGTTTTAATTCTAAGAAAGGGAAAACAGGTCTGCACAATTGCTCTTTGCCATTCTCCCTTCCTGCCATGTCAACACAGATTGGGGAAACTGAGGCACAGCCAACAGTGAGGCTGGACTTTTTTTATTCTGGTTTTAGGACTTTGATTTAAGATTAAAGAACTTGGCCCTAAGGCCAGGGAAGACTTCTAGGGTTCTTTTTTGGTAAATCAATCTTTTGACTGCTTGAGATACTGACTTTTGGGTATAATATTGAGTAGATAGATGCTTATGTACAATCTGCTGTGTGCCAGGCACATTGTTAGGCACAATTAAAAGCTCTCAAGGACTCCTTGAGGTAGGTGGTATCACTGCCACTATCACCATCTTACAGCCAAGAAAATAAAAGCCAGGAGAAGTTCAAGGTCACAGCATAAAGGTGGGATTTGGATCCAAAGTTCTCTGATTCTCCTTAATTGCTATTGTACAAAACACTAGAATTGTTTACCAAAAAGCTTACTTTCCAAAGGGCTAAGACCAGAAAATGTGTGTATAAAAGCCACCTGTAATATCACTTCAGTACATAAGTGTAAGGCAGAACTAAGACCAGGTTCCAAGATGGCAGATGTGAGCTAGTCCACGGGGAGGCACGTGATAGGCAGAATGCACCTGCACTTTCTTTCTTTTCTTTTTCTTTTTTAAATACTGGGGATTGAGCCCAGGGTCTTCACACCGAGCTACATCCCCGTCCCTTTTTAAAGTTTTTTTCTTTTAAATTTTGAGACAGGGTCTCAAGTCACTGAGTCTCTTGCTTTGGGTTCAAACTTGTGATACTCCTGCCTCAGCCTCCCTGAGTGCTGGAGTTACAAGTGTAATCCACATCCAAGTGTACACTCGTGTCTTGTATCCTCCTTAAGAATAAACAAAGAGCCAAGGCAGCAGAAATTTTAAACCAATAGGTCTGGAAGATTAAATTGAAAAAATTTCCCCAAAAGTTCAATAAAAAGTTAAAGAGAAGGAAGATAAGAAAGGGAGGGGGAGAGAAGGAAGTCAATTTAAAAGTTCTAGTATCTGATAAACAAAAATCCCTGAAATACCTTATAGAGATTGTGAAAGAGAAATGATGTTAGAGATTGCCTTACAAGCTTATTGTACTTTCTAACTCTGTATGACTCATTTTAATTTAGCAGAACAAAACAAAACAAAAAATCCAAGTAAACATCAGAAACAACTAAATACACACCAATGGTTGGAAATATGGGCAGTGAATTTAAGTATGAAGAATCAATAGTCACCTCCATTTTCTGCACACCTTGTGTTCTATCATTTGTAATGTTGTGAGATGGCTTACCATTGTGTAAACAGAAAGTGCTGACTGCGTGCCCAGCACTTCTTAGATGTCACCTCACTTGTCCTTCACAGGAACTAAGTTAGGTTGGTTTAATTATTTCCATTTTATGGATGAAGAAGTAGGGTCAGAGAGCTGAATAACAGAGTGAGATCTCATAGCCAGTGATGGAAGAGAAGAGTCCGACTCAGCCCTTTTAGATGTCCCATCATCTGACCTTGAACTAGAGATCGAAGAGCTAACACTTATTAAGCAAACCGCTCATCTAATCAATGACATTCCTTGCTCCCTCACTTTCAGATTTTCTTCTTTATTACTTTAATCCCTCATTTTGCTGGAGCACATCCTCTAGTAGTTGTCTCTGAAAAGGTACATGGTAGTTGCTATATGCTACGCAATGTTCTATGTAGATAATCTATGGTATGTGAACTTTCCCATTTAATACATACAACAACTCTATGAGGTAATTATTCCTGCTCTTTTTATTTTACAGAAGAAGAAACCAGTGCTCTGAGAGAACCAACTGTCTGTCTCATCCTGATTCCCCAGTAGAATTTAGCATGGGGCCTTACTCTTAGTAGATCTTTGACATAAATTTATATATTTATTTATTATAAATATCGAATATTGAATAAAATAAACAATGAGATTGCTATTGGTTCAAATCTAGAAAGCTACAAGCCCTTTGGAAATGAGGGCAGACACTGGGGGGACAAGGAGGACAGACATTTTTTTTCTCTCCAAGAGGAGCCCAGCACTGAAGCTTTGGAACCTGAAGAGAGCCAGGGGTCAGTTAGATAAATGCATCTCTGACTAACTGATTTGCCTGGATGATTGGAGTGACCAGCTTGAGATGTAGGGTTTAATTATTCCAATGAAATTCCACCTATCTGAAAGGACATCTGGCAAAAAACAATATAAAAAAGGGAAGATTGTTTAGAAGGAAGCTCTACTGCCTGTGAGAAGGGACCGAAAAGCTTACAGCCTTGAAGTGCTGCCTTCTACCCCACTCCCACCCTCCAACTCCCCTTCATGCTTACAAAAAGGGCACTTACAGAAGCAGCTAGAAATTTCACCCTGCAAGGCTCTCCTTTGCATCCCAGTTAACTTGTTAACCTCTGTCTATCTCAGCTCATTCAACCGAAATGTTGACAGGATAATATTTCCCATCAATTAGGATGTGTACAGCAATCAGCAGAGCTTCACTGGTACATATTTTGAAAGCAGCAATTATCATCTTAAATTTACAGTAGAGGGGCAGACACTGCCAGCTGCCAGCCCACTATCCATTCTCTCTTACTTATTATCAGATCCCCAATTTTTTGTAGCGTTAATTGAGCCCATCTTAAAAACTGTATTCCCAGCCTCCCTTGCAGCTATAAGTGGCTGAATGACACAATTCTGCCTAAGTGAAGCTTTTAGGTGAGACATCAAGGAAGCCTCTTTAACGGGGGCAGGGGATTAGGTGAGAAGAACCTTTTCTTTTTCCTTGTCTTCCTACCTGGAATGTGGTGAGTGTGGAAGTAGGGCAGCTACTCTGTGGCCATGAAGACAAGGCCATATTCTAAAGATGATCGAATAGGATGCTACAAGAATCTTGGGTCGTGGGTGACACTCCTGGAAAGCTAGCCTTTGAGTTCTTGGTCCATGAGAAGAAGAATATCACTAGTATGCATAAAATCTGATTTTGTTTCTATTACTTGCAAGTGAAAAAAAAATCCTAACGGGTACAGGTGATATATAAAACCCATGCCTTCTAAGTCATACTGGTTCCAACCACAGATTTCTGAGCCCTTAAGTCTGAGCAAATGCCTTATATATTTGCTCCTGTTCCTTTTATCTAGTTACAAAACCAGAGTGGGCAAGTGATCAGCAGACAAAGCACTACCTGTGAGGGAGACACAAATGAGGTGCCACTGGGGGACCAGCAAGGCAAAGAGGACACAGGGATCCCCCGGGAAACTGGACCAGCAGCCTCCACTGTCACCCAGGTACCAAAGCTTCTTAGTGGGCTATACCACCTATTCTCAGGTAAGCACAGCAAAGGGGCAGTGGTTCCTGTGGATATAAATGTCTCTTTTAGGACAGAAAGAAGCATTTGCAGGAAGTAAGGGTGGGAGGATGTTGCCGATCACTGATCCAAGAGACCCAGGCTGTGACCCGACTTCTTCTGTGAGGGCTTTGTTCTCGTCCCAAGACATCTGATTTTGGAAGGACACATGCCTCTTGCATTACTGAAAGATATTGCTCCCCCCAGTTCTCATTTTTCTAACAGTACTGCAGGAAAGCTTTTGAAAAGAGCACAATTAGGAATGACAGATTTAAATTGTTCTGAAATGCGTATCGATTTAGCACATTGGCTCTTTATAAGCATTTGCCCCGTCTGGATTCCAGGGCTATGCACGCGGCAGATGGACAGCTTGGAGGCAACTCTGAGCTGGGGCGGGGCCACCCTGCCAAACCCAAATCACAGAGTGTGGTCACCTTCTTGGAGTCTTGTGAGATTCAGCTTTGATAGTAAGGAAATACTGTCCCTCCTGCTATTCCCTTTGATGCCTGGTC